TCGGCCCATCGATATTGATATCGCCGCCGGCTATGGATAGGGAGAACCGCTTGGGCGGCTCATCATTGGAATATCCCCAATTGAACACCTCATACATGGACGAAGACTTTCGGCGATGATCTGATGATGATTTTTTTGGTTTTTTTTTTTTTTTTTTTTTTGGTTACAGAGAGAAAAGTGATCGTTACAGAGGTGTGTGAAAACTGTTTTTGCTTTTAGGTGCAAATCATACGAGTAGAGAGAGAGAGTATTCGAAAACAAAAAGAGTAAGGAATACAATCAAAGAAAAAACAATAAGGTGATCGTGCCGGGTGTTAAAATTCTCTTTTGGGGTGTATCACATGTACAGCTGGGTCTGGGGGGGGTTTGGTACAGTGATGCATAATATATCATAGATCGATTATAGAAATATCTAGTTTTAAGTGGGGGGGATCATCACACACTGAGAGCTTGTACAATTTGTTCTAAGGCAAGAAATAACAATAACTGCAAAATAAAATGTAATCTCATTATGTGTGTTGTGGTTTGTGTGAGGGTGTGTGTGGTTTGTGTGTGTGTTTTGGGGTCTCTGGAGTGTTCCGAGTGTGTGTGTGTATTTTTCTGGGGGGCAGAACCGTTCGCGTGGCACCGTTTCGTGACTCACCATCGTGTCTGTCCGTGGAGGAGGAGGTACGCTTCTTAGCACCACTGTCGGCAAGTTCTCGCTCGGAACTTCGACGTGTGAGCGAGGCGCCCGCTACGTTCGATATCGATGTAGATCTAAAAGGAATAAAATTAGACATATTAGCACATTATATCTCTCGCCTCGCCATATTTGGCATTAGATAATGATCTTTCGCTTTCATTTTGCCACAGCGTAGTTTCACTTAGGCACTAAACTCCCCCCCGCACCAAGCCCCTCCCTACCTTCGCTGACCCCAAAAGGCACTGGGCGATACCAGACCATAATCCGCAGGCACATCCAACAGACGGGGCGTCGACGAGCCAAAAGCAAAACCAATTGAGTTTCTGTCCCTCCTCATAACTTCTATTCGGGATTCACGTTCCTGTGGGTCACAAATCACAAAAGAAACAATTTAAGAATTATTTCGCGTCAGACAGGAGACAGGAGACTGGAGACCGAGACCCACCTGATTCTTCTTAAGTATATACTCGCGACGCTCCTTCTCGGCCTCAATGATGGCCTTCTTGCGCTCCTCCACCTGGTGGCGTTTCTCTGTGTCACGGCAGCGTATCTCTTCGATGCGTCGCCGGCGTTCCTCCTCCTTTTGTTCGCGATACCTTTGGGCCGCCTCTGCCTGGGCCCTCAGCTCCTCGATCTTTTTCTGTCGCTCCTCATTCTGGCGGTCGCGTGCATATTTCAGCTTCTCCTCTCGATCTTTGGACACTACGAAAAGTTGGGGTTAATTATTAAGTTTGCTATATTTTTAGCTGCTGATGAATTTTTAACATAAAATTGAACAAACACACGGGAGTTGGCAGGCAAATAAAAAATGGAGATGTGCTACCTGTGGCCACAAATCAATAAAAACAAAATCTTGTTCTCTTTTCGGTTGTTTTTTTTGTGTCATTTGTTGCCGGTGAATTATTTACAAGGGGAACCTGACGTCATCGACGTTGTGCGCTGGCTGGCTGACTGTTTGTGGGTCAACTGACAAACTAACATGGAATGGAACTATGTACATTACACTACACATACAACATACAATAACAAATGGCACGCACACGAACACGAGACGAATCGTACACCCCCGCAGACAGCCCCTGAAATTTGCCTATGTGCAAAAAAGGCAACAAATGCGATGGAAAGAAAACTGAAACTGTAAAGCGCACATTTTTGTGATATATTAAAATGACATTGAGGCGCAGAGGCGAGAAAACGAGCAAAAGATATTTGATAGCAGGCAGGAATGAAAGTTCCAAGTTCCAGTGCCAATTCCAAGCAGATACTCGTACTCGCATTATAATCGACCATTATTTCCGATGGAGGAGGCGCCCTTATCGCCTTATCGGCTGGCAGATATTATTGGAATTCCATGACGTAATTACCATAAGGCAAGAAAAGACCCAAATGCACTGCATTTCAATCTCTGACCCCCAAATGGAATATAAGAGTTTGGGGGAAAAATTATCAGCGGCCAAGGTCGCAGTCAAATTATTTGGGAGTGGATTTTCATGCCTAGATAGGAAGGAGTAGTCTCTTGGGGTCGTTTATTAGTGAGATCGTGCTGCAAACAGGAGGAGTAGGAACGGCAGACGACAAGCAGACAGAGGGCATAGGCACACCGCGCCCTCTCGATGGAATGTAAACTACCTTGAGAGTCATCTTCGTTGCTGCCGCCCACCTGACCAAACCAGTGCAGAGTGTTGCCGCGGCTGCAGCTTGAGATCTCCGCTGACATGGTAGCGGCGGCGGCGGCAGGTGCGGTGGATGTGAGTGCGGATGCGTGGGCTGTCGGCCCAGTATGTGGACGTGCTGAGAGTGGATTATATTTGTTGTATATAGAGATAAATGTGTGTGGTGTGTGCGATGTGGTCTATTATGAAGTCTGTGCCAATTTTATGTAACAAGTGAGGGATAAACTAAGTAATAGCTTTACCTTTTCGCTCGGCGCTGCCCTCGCGGCTTTCGTCTCGTTTAGATGTGTGTTCCACTGAAAGTAAAGAAATGATTCGATGACTTGAAGCTCATTCGGGGTTCGGCCCCCATTACCCCTGCAATCACCGAATTTTCCACACGATTGCCCCAAACAATGGCACGGCACTTACTCGAAGGAGACACGAAGAAACGAAACGAGTGGAATATGGGTAGGAAAATCAATTGGCTTCTGTTTTGCACTTTTAGCCAGAAAACACGCATTTGGCGGATGGGCGGACGAAGAGGACGGACAAACACACACAAACAAACGCCTCAGCTGCAGCGCAGCTGCTGGCCACACGATGACGAAGCGACGACGACGATGGCAGAGGCAGAGACGACATCAGCAGCGCACCAGCAGCAGTTGCGGCAGTGAGACAGAAAAATGTTTTCCTCTGGAAACATGAACTTATTTATAACTCAAACTCCGGTTGACGGTTTGGGGGAAAGGCACAACAAGCACATAGAACACACGGCAGCAAAATTTCACCCATATGAGGGGGGGGCAAACACTTCTACTTCTGGCTTCTTAGTTTTTTCACATCGTTTGCTTTGGCTTTGGTGTGAGTGCTGCGCAGTCGACCAACAATTTTTAGACACTTGAAACGCCTCATTACGCGATTCTCCGGGGGATTTTTCACTGTCCGTTTTCGCGCAAAGGCCTATCCTTTGATGGGGAACATGTTTGGCCAATTTTAAATGCGTACCTTCTGGATTATTCGAATAATTTTCGTGTTGGCCCCCAAGACTCGCCATATTTCTTAAATCCGCTGCAAACAGTGTGACCGCGCATTTATGGACAAATTATACTGTCTTGGCATATACCGATTTGGCCTGCAGAGTTGTCCGTCTCTAAGTGAATATATCGACTGACAGAAAGTCACGGTTTGCAGCCCGGTTATTTTTAGCAATTATTTTTTAAAAATATTTAGAAATATTATTTTTTTCCAAATTTATTATTCATTGTTCTTAAATTAATTTCATATCAATAATGTCCCCTTTTTGGAACTAGTGCGACTCAGACACGATGCAAAGACGGGCCAGCAGGGCTGTGAGCTGCAGCAGGGAATTTAAGCCATCGACGATCTTCATGTGCGTGATGCCGATCTCCCGAATAAAGTTGAGCTTCATCTGCTCGTCGATGTTCAGCCGCTTGCAGACCCGGAATATGTTGCCAATAATGTCCTCCGGGGAGTAGCCGAGACTCCACAGCTTGGCCAGTATCTTGTAGGCCTTGTGGATGTCATTGACGGCACAGTGCTGGAGCATTTCTTCCAGCAGCTTGGGATGCGGCTCATCGCACACCTTGAACACGTTCTCCATGCTAATGTTGCCATATCCCTGGGCGGTGGCCTGCAGATTGTTGAGACCCTGTCGCATGTCACCCTGGGCAGTGAAGACGATCGCCTCCAGGCCCTCTGCATCGTAGGACAGATTCTCCCATTTGCTCACCTCGATCAGCTTGGCCAGCACCTGTGCGTCCGAGAGCTTGGTGAAGCGCAGCATGGCGCATCGCGACTGTATGGGCTCGATGATCTTCTCGCTGGTGTTGCAGGCTAGGGCGAACCGTGTCGTGTTGCTGTAGATCTCCATGGTGCGACGCAGCGCCTGCTGGGCGCCCTCCGTCATGCTGTCTGCCTCGTCCAGGATAACGATCTTGTGCCGACCCTTGGGCAGCGTCACCTTTTGCTGGGCAAACATCTTTATCTTGTTTCGCACCACATCGATGCCGCGCTCGTTCGAGGCATTCAGCTCTAGCACGGCCTCCTTGTAGCTGTCTCCGAGCAGGATGCGGGCCAGGCACTGAATGGTCGTGGTCTTGCCAACGCCAGGAGGACCCTGCAGGAGTAGTTCCTATGTGAGTCTGAGGGAATCAACAGGTGGCTATGCGTGTACTTACGGCTATAATTATGTTGGGTGCATTGCCCTGCGTTGCGAAGACAGAGAGACGCGCCACCGTATCCTCATTGCCGACGATCTCGTTGAACTTTGCGGGTCGGTACTTTTCAATCCACGGCAAGTGCGTCCGCTTTTCACTTGCAACAGCCTCTGGTTCCTCAGGCATATTTCCGTTCAATCAAATTTGGAAAATTAAATGATTTCGCGGTGGCGTGATAAAAATGCCGGCGTCGCTGACAACGTTGGCGCCACTTCGTGATTTTCACGAGTCACAAGTAACAACAAGTAACAGTTTGATTGCAGTTGAATATGACATATATATCGCCCAATGTTGTAACCTTTAGTTTACATTTATATTAATAAAATTAACATACTTTAAATCAGTACCGCTCAAATATAATTTAAAAATAATTTTCACATTCACAACTATTTTTATGAAGTTATTTGAATACTCACGCAATATAAGACTTATCAGACCATCTCTAGCGTGAGCCAGCCGCGGGTGTTTGTATCGTTGTTATCGATAGGCCCGTGCGGAAGAAAATAAAAAGATTTTAGCTGGCAATTCGAGTCGAAAATAATTGAAAAATGCAGACGCAAACGTACAAGCTGGTCGTCGTCGGTGGCGGCGGCGTGGGAAAGTCAGCCATAACGATACAATTCATACAGGTAAGACCCTGGAGCGAAACATTGCTGACGTCGTTGCTCATCGTTAGCCAGAGGGGAGGTGCGGAGCGAGAAGTGGGCCCTTGTTTTGGCAAAAGCAACAAGCGAATAGACGATGATGATGCTGATGATGATGTTCGTCTGTGTTTGGAAATGCGTGTGCTACATATTTTCGAGCAGAGATCATCGCCGCAGCCAACTCTCTCGATGTTGATGCCACACCCCCAAAACAGCCAATGGGGGCCTAGGGTCAGGTCACCGCAGCAGCACCAATACTCCGAAAGTTGGAGTCTCGCTTTATGGGTGTGCCCCCAGAACAGAAGCCTGGCTGGTGACGGTTCAATTCAGTTCGTTTGGGTGCGTTCTGAGGCCTGACATGGTCACGACCACGGTCGATTTGTCTGTCCATCATCTAGTATGTGGCAATGCGCGCCCGTTTCCATTTATTTTTAGTTATTTGCGTCATCTCCATCTTTCGGATATATGTGTATGCACACACAGACAAGCAGACAAGACACCTCCAACGTACTATCCCCCACGCATACAACGCCGAAGATTTTCTTCAAGATATAGAGCATACTCGTATTAGTGCGTTTGTTGCCTTGAATGTTTTTGGGATGATAAAAGTGGCGTCTCGTCTCTGTGTGTAAACAAATCGGACGGCTCCCGAGAAACGCGTCTATCTAAATCTAAATCTGTGTGTAAACTAATTTATCTTCGTCTTTCCACCTTGCAGAGCTACTTTGTCACAGACTACGATCCCACCATCGAGGATTCGTACACGAAACAATGCATCATCGACGATGTGCTAGCCAAATTGGACAGTAAGTGATCCTGTACAATCTATAAAATGCCTGAAATAATGTATATTTCCTTTGTAGTTTTGGATACGGCTGGCCAGGAGGAGTTCAGTGCCATGCGCGAGCAGTATATGCGCTCCGGCGAGGGCTTCCTGCTTGTATTCTCGCTCAACGATCATTCCAGCTTCGATGAGATACCAAAGTTTCAGCGCCAGATATTGCGAGTGAAGGATCGCGACGAGTTCCCCATGCTGATGGTCGGCAACAAGTGCGATCTGGAGCACCAGCGGCAGGTGGGCCTGGAGGAGGCCCAAAACACGAGCAGAAACCTGATGATGCCCTACATCGAGTGCAGTGCAAAGCTGCGCGTCAATGTCGATCAGGCCTTCCATGAGCTGGTGCGAATTGTGCGCAAATTTCAGATTGCCGAGCGGCCCTTCATCGAGGAGGGATACAAGAAGAAGGGCAAGAGGAAGTGCTGCATGATGTAAGGTGAACAGCTTAAGCAGCGGCAACACCAGCAACAATTTAACGAGTATAACACCAAATTTTAAACACGCGTCGACTGAGCTATAAGAAGATCCGTTGAGAAGACGATAAACCCAAAAAACAACCAGTAATCAGTAAAGCCAACAAAATGTAACCCCGTAACACGTAACCAGTAAGGCAGTCCCCCAAAACGAAGTGCATTTCTTATCTGCCCAAAAAACGAACGAATCGAATAAGCTTCTCGCCCAACAATGAAACTCAAAATATGCGTCTCCAAGCGACACAGAAATGACACATGCCCACGCCCAAGCCGAAGCCCATTGCATATTATAAAGAAAGATATATACAACGCCAGATGCAGACACACAAACAAACACGAATAACATATATATATATTATATATTTTCTACATATATTTTTGTAATATTATTTGTTGGATCAACGACAACAATTAAGGACGGAATGTTTTCTATGATTATTACAGAAATTGTGGTACGCAAAAGGCCATTTGTTTTTACAAACCGATCCCCAAGATCGTTGATTGTCATTCGTTGGAACGCTTGTTTCGATTAAGCCAAAATGTAATAATGTGTTATTGTAATTTGTATTGTTATTTACTACTAATATACGCGTACACGTACATATTTATACACAAATGCATATATATGTATATATTGCTTACAATCCGACAAAATTGAGTGCCTAAACAAATGCTATATTTCCCCCCTTGGCCAACGTTCCACCAATATTCGCTCCTTTTGTACTATAATATAAAGCGCACAGCTCACCCCACCCGTCTCGCTCGTTTTTAACCATAAATGTATTCATATTTTTGTACATGTCCCTAAAACCAAACCAAGTCCTTAAACTACTCGTATGTGTTGTTTGTTTATTTTTGTATCGCCAAATTGTATTTGCAAACAGTTGCTTCGAGCCGCAATCTCGTTTAACTCTATACACTGCTTAATTTAACGAACTTATTTAACGATACGTATACATGCCTATAAATAAATACGAGTATAATTGTATATGGAATATAATTTACATTAAATATATGCGCAATTCTAATAAATACATGGAGAATCACAAAAGCTTCCACATAGCCGAATGTTTCAATGCATCTTTGACGTCTCGTACTCTGATGATTGACGTCCCTTTAAAAATAATCAGAATCCTTACAAGTGCTCCATTAATTAGCACCAGGACCAACCCACTTTCATGCTCTGTCTGGCTTGGATCTGGTATAAAAGCAGCTGAGAACACAGTAACCAGCATAGAACACAGAATGAGTCCCAAGAGCGAAGTCATCATCATTGCAGCTGTGCTCTGCTTCCTGCTGGCCTGCGTTGAGGGTCAAGTGAGTTGTCCTATCCAGCTAATAAACGCCAGAAACTAAACTAATATAAATCCCCTTTCAGCTGACATTCTCACCGGACTGGGGTAAACGTTCGGTGGGCGGTGCTGGCGGCGGCAGCTCGGGCTCCTTCTTTGAATCGCAGCAGGGTAACTGCAAGACCTCCAACGAAATGCTGCTCGAGATCTTCCGCTTTGTACAGTCGCAGGCCCAGCTCTTTCTCGACTGCAAGCATCGCGAGTAGGAGAAGGCTCCAATTCTTAAGCTCCTCCGATCCGAGAAGAACACACACACACACAGCCACATATTAATCCATATATATATACACTAAACATATACATATATCGATGTCCATATACTATACACACACGTTATCGAGGGTAGTCGTAGTCGGCATTTAGATTTAATGGAATTTCCGTTTGGTATCCGTCTCTCTTCATTTATGGAGTTCAATAAATAAGCGCATCTAAAAGTTATTCGAATTGAATCGTAGACAAATTGGGTAATTTTCTGACCTTTCGGGGGTGCTTCACCACGATTATCACCTGGCACCTGGCCACCTGCCTTCACCTTTTCAAGTTCATAGCCATTTTTGATCCGAAAAAAAAGTTAATGCCTCAAATTAAAGTCGATTTAATTCGGAAAATTGCTTCAATTAACATGAGACTCCCACCCCCAGCCCAGTGGGTGAGGGTTTAAGTTCTGTTGTGTCAGTGGCCCACGAGTTCAGTTTGACGGTGAAGTTCATAGGATCATAACGTGCACGTACATAATGCCTACAATCAGGGGCTGCCAACAGTCGAAAGTTTTCAGAATTCCATTGATTCTTTGGGTGCTTTCCCTCTTCACATTGGTCCAGTGTAAGTTGTGTATTATGTCTATCAGATCGTGCCAATAGATCAGTGATTGTGATCGTGTCGTTTCATTTAATTTGTGTCAACATAAACAATCCAATCCCCCACTCTTAATGTCCGTCATCTAAATTGGAAACACCCAATGATAATCACAGACCACCCCGGAATGGAATGAGTGGAATTATGGCTGGAAGCTATTATCGGATGTCAAGCGCCAGTGGCCCAGATATTTTAATTCCCTCACTGAATTAACGATGCATTTCGGTGTGAATACGTTTGCATTGCCATTATGGGGGAATTTCGGTGACGAGATGAAAGCTTATGGCCCTAAAATAGGTATAAAACGAGTATAGATGGCATATAAGATATAGAATACAGTTCTATATAATATAAAGAGCTGCTGGCGGAAACTATCGTGAAGAAACCCCTTCGAATTTTCCATGGTTTATATTTTGGGCCCAAAAATGACCTAAGCCGCACCTGTCATCTATGGTTTTGGGGCCATCCAACGATGGTTTGGATAATTGTGCGCCACATAATAATTGAATTAAAATCATTATGGGAATTACCGTGGTCCAATTCTGGGCCAACAGCATTGGGCGGCACAGTAGCCAACTTCTGGCCAAGCAGCACGGACACGGCTGCGGATACGTGGCTTGGAAGAGGCGCATAATGGTACTGCTGGAAGAGTTCTGTGTGAAGGTGTACTTCTGGCCGTTCCTCTCGTACTTGGCCAGCATCAAGGGATGGTGTCCGGTGTATCCACCAGGTTACTATCCTGTCTACACGTGGCCACAACCGCCTCCATTGCCTCCGCTGCCGCCGACTGGTCCACTAATACCGCCTCCACCCGCTCTTCCGTCCACAACTCCAGGGATACCGACGTTCCAGCCAACGCCACCGAATCCCCAGACACCGTTCACCCCACCGCTGATCACGACAAGCAGCAGCACCTCCACATCTACCACTTTAGCGACTACCACCACCACAACGGGTGTGACGACAACTAGCACCGCGGGAACCACTCTGCCAGTGCCCACCTGTCCGCCGCAGCCATTGGTGTGCCTGCCCGGAGGCGTGCGTCCGCTGCCCAACTGCCCCTGCATCGATCCTCGCCAGAATGCGCCCCTGGCGGCAGCCACCGGTCTGATCGGTTCGGATATGATGGTTTTCATGCCGCTCAACGCGGGACGGCGGCGTCGTCGTCGTCGACGGCGTCGTATTCTCTTTTGAGAGTCACTCCCAATCCGCCTCCCCACCGCACCCCACAAAAATTCACCAAAATTTAATAAACACAAACAATCACAAACGAAAAAAGAACTCTAATCAATTGGCAAACTTCAAAGTACTCGAAGATTCCCCACAATAGTCACAGTCTCAATCACAGTCACAGTCCTGCTCTGCTCTGCTCGTACTTCCAGCCCAGACCTCCTGCTACGATGCTCGCACTCGGCCAGGCAACTGTCTGCCCCTGACCTCCTGCTCTCACCTGGTGGAGGAGTACCAGGCACAGTCGGCGGGCTCCGAAGAGTTTAAGACGTTTCTGGGTCAGTCCATATGCGGCTTCGATGGCTCCACTTTTATGGTAAGCCAAAGGCAGCCACTCCGTGGATTTGGTATGTGATCTAAGGCCTACTCTGCAGGTCTGCTGTGCCTCGGATCGCTCGGCAAATGGCAGGAGTAGAAAGGATCTGCTGGTGACCACCACTGCATCCTCTGGTGTGTTTCATTTCTCGCCCCTTGGAGGAGGCACAGGAAGTCCATCTGTGTTTCAGCCTACACCACCGCTGATGCAGGCCCAAGTGGTGATCAGACCCAGTCCTAATTATCCTGGTCCCGCTCCACCGCAACCTCAGCCTCAACATCAGTGGGTCTGCGGCATCAGTGGAGTCACATCGAACCGCGTGGTGGGTGGCCAGGAGGCTCGAAGAGGCAAGCAAACCCTTATACTGACCTCCACTTAGAGACTCTCTCATACATTATTTTATGCAGGAGCCTATCCCTGGATTGCCGCCCTTGGCTACTTCGAGGAGCCCAATCGGAATGCCCTGAAGTTCCTCTGTGGCGGCAGCCTCATCCACTCGCACTACGTGATCACCTCCGCCCACTGCATCAACGGGCTGCTCACACTGGTCCGCCTGGGAGCTCACGATCTGTCCAAGCCCACCGAGGCAGGGGTCATGGACTTTCGCATTCGTCGCACAGTTGTCCACGAACACTTCGATCTGACGTCCATTGCCAATGACATTGCCCTGATCGAGCTGAGTGGAATGACATCTACCCCTCGCCCTGGTCAGTGGAGAGCAGGCGGAATTATCCGACTGATTTTCTGATCTAATCCTCATTGATCTCTCCAGCCAACATAGCTCCCATCTGCCTGCCCGAAGCGGCAAAATTCCTGCAGCAAGATTTCGTGGGCATGAATCCCTTCGTTGCCGGTTGGGGGGCATCCAAGCATCAGGGACCCACGTCCCAGGTATTGCGCGATGCCCAGGTGCCAATCGTGGCCCGTCAGAGCTGCGAGCAGAGCTACAAATCCATTTTCCGGTTTGTCCAATTCAGCGACAAGGTGAGCCACCTTTCCCTCGGGGGAATCCTCACCAGAGCACGCACATGGATGCTACTCGTATAATTAATCCTTTTGCAGGTGCTCTGCGCTGGCAGCTCCAGCGTCGATGCATGCCAGGGGGATTCCGGTGGACCACTCATGATGCCGCAGGTCAGTTACATATCTCGCATGTTCATCTCTTGGTCTGTGAGTCATTGAACCTGTTTTGGGCACATCTTGTGCTCTGCCAGCTCCAAGGTGGTTCGGTTCGATCTGTCTCGCTGCTAATTGCCTGCGCACCCAGTGACGTCGGCTGAATCAGTGTCCAACAATGTTTTCGTTTGTTTATGAAAATGTCTGGGATTTGCCAAAAAAAAAATGCTTCTAACATTCGACGTCTCTATTTCCGTTCCACTTTCAGCTGGAGGGCAGCGGCTATAGGTTCTACCTGCTGGGCCTCGTCTCGTTTGGCTATGAGTGTGCGCGACCCAATTTTCCAGGTGTCTATACGAGAGTCGCCTCCTACGTTCCATGGATCAGGCAGCAGATCTCAATGGGCTAGCAACAGCTTGCGCATCATCACTGAAGGGACACACGTTTAGAACGGGGCTTGTAAACGGGGAATTATGCATAAAAAACCTATATTTAAATTTAAGAATACTTCCGCAATAAATTGCATGTTTTAATGTTCCCACTTGATTGGTTTTTAATTGGTTTTACATTCACTGATGTATACTAGTAGAGTTCGCCTGAAAATTACCTAAATGGTTAAATTGTGGTGGTTTTTTTTTGGCTTAAAACTTATAAAGTCTGCGTGACTAAGTCTTAATTCTTTGGGTTTAGTTTCTTGAATTACAATCTCTTAGTTTTACTTATCTACAGTATACATATGTTCATATGATCCGCTTCTAAAAAAACCGAGACACATAAAAATGGGTTTTTTCTGCATGCGAGAGGCTACATCTTTCATGGCTATATCTTACCTATAACACAACCGATTTGTTGTATATAATATTGCATTACTATTGATTATAACTCTGAAATCTTAAACATCTTATAGATACCTCCCCAAAAGACCGCAATATGTGCTTTTGAATTCTATTAGATATTCTTCTTATAGTCATACATTTTCTGTGTGATTATTTGCATGCACTTTGCATTATTTTTAGCGATTCAACAATATTTGAGATGTGCATGTAGTACGACTTGAAGCCGACAGCGCAATTATATCATAAGAATTAAGTGTTGTTCGCGTATTACCTGAATCAATTAATCAATAAAATAAACCGAGTTCAGTGGAGGGCAGAATTACTTCGAAATCTGTTGAAGGACCGAAATAATGTCGGGCATGCGTGCTGTGCTGAAATATTGATCAAGTTGTCATCTGTCGAGCCGGAACCGAAAAGAGCAGTTCTGTTCTTCGACTGTGAGTGGAAATTCCCGCACTTGGGCCACCCGCTGGCACCTGTGCTGCATTGCCAATCGATCTGTGGTATTACTCATAATAGAATGCTTTATATTATGCCACTCTCGACTGCATCGCTCGCATGCCAATTGACTCTGGGCTATACGAGCTCTGGCTTTCGGCAACATCCAGCCAGAATGCCAAGCATTTTGAGTGGCCCGATCTAAGTATATTACTTAGTATAACTGCAAAATCAAACGATGCCGTAACTCAACCACTCACTCACTCACTCACTCACTCACCCACTCACTAGTAGCTGTAATCGCTCAATCAAGGGAGAGCTTTTACGGTTCGTGCATACGAATGCAATGCCAATGCTAATCTTGATACGAACAGAGAGAGACAGAACCATAACAGAGGCAACGGCAGTGGCAGTGGCGATGCAGCAGACCTTAGACAGTTGTTTAAGTGATTCCCAATTGACATGTCAACTGGATCCGTTTTAATTTCCCCCTTGATTAATGACATTTTAAATTCTTGTTTCATTTGTCAAATTGAGTCACAAATTTCTTGGGACTGTATCAATGACAAATGCGGAGCAAGGCGCCAAAACGACACATAGGCAAAGTGACCTCACACACACATACACGCACACACATAAAACAAATCAATTGAGAAAAAGTACTCTCACGACTATAATTTGCCTCCTTTTGACTCATCCGTTGAATAATTCCCATTCCATATAAATACTCTTTTCGTCTAATTTTTAGGTTTGCAATCTAAAATTAATAATACTACATGCCCGCCCGCATTTGGCCAATTTAATAGCGTTGGAAATAAATATGGTTCTAAAAATGGGTCTGGGAAAATCGTGTCTCCCCCCATCGCCTGAATTTGGTGATTTTTCCGGCTTGATTATTATACTTAGAAAGCGATTTAATTTCCCATCAAAATCGAAGTGAATCCCAAACGCAGATCATTGCGTTCGCGTTCGCATTCGCACTCGCACTGCTATTCCGTTAGGGAGAGCTTAGGGAGAGCGGCCGACCCGACGCAGTGAGAACGGACTGGGAGAGAGATAGAATCGAAGTGCATATAAAGCTCAGCTCAAGAGGCCGAACACTCAGCCCACACGAAGACGCGACGCGATGCGAGCCGATGCTTTGGTCACGCAAGCCACAAAATTTAACAAAAACAAATTATTATTAAATGAAGAAGCGTCCAAGTCGGTTTTAATTTCGACTACGATATAAATTCTGACTCGAGAGACTTTTCAGTCTGATAACGGCCGTCAGACAGTGAACAGTGAACGTCGCGAAGCTGCTCCGCTCGATCTCTCAGTCTCGCCATGAAGTCGGTGTTTGGTGCCAGTGCTGTGATTACGCTCCTCTGCCTCCTCCTCCTCGGCGGGCCGTCCGCCTTCGCTCAGTTTAACAATCAGAACCGGCAAGGTAGTTACTCGTACTCGTACTTAATTAGTAGAAAGCTTTCGAGCCTGGCTGGCTACTAGCCATATCTGTTCTATCTATCTATCATATTTGTAGAACTTTTAACGATGTGATGTGAGCAAACAAATAACTAATCCGCGCCATTCCCAAAACCAGTTCCATTAACAGCAACGAAAAATCAGAATCAGAAAACAAATTTAAACTAATCAAAACTCGTAAAAAGTTCAGCGAATTTCAGCGAAATTTGAATGGGAATAACTAAGTTGATCGAAATATTGATTTGGGTTAGCACGCGGGACAAACAAGAGTAGAGTCGGATACAAGTTGATGGCAAGTTCGTTGCTCAAGTCTTTCGTATTCGTACCATTTCCACCTGTCGCACCGGTTAATGGGGCAATTTGTATGAACTGCACAAAATGGTGTGTGTCTTAAGTTATTTATTATAAATTTCGGCTCATCGTGTTCAAGTTCAATTCCAGTTCAATTCAGTGAAACCAGTCGCCAAGGTCGCACTCAGATGTGGACGTGTGGACAGGTGGCTATTACCTGTGAGGCGTTTCTGTCTTTGTTTACTTTTGCGTGGGGTTTTTTTTTGCTCGACCGTTTTGTATTAATGATCAAGTTTACAGATTGTTAGAAGTGTCAAAGTTTTTATTACTATATATATCATAGTGCAAAGAGTCGGACTAAACTAGCCCCTCCCCTTTCTGCGGTTTTCTAAACACACACTTCCCATTGTAGGTGTGTGTTTTATAATAATATATTTTTACAATTAATTGCCAAGAATTCTCAAATTTTATAGTATATAGAATCGCCAATGCCATTCAGCATTTACTTATTCCCCAGCTATTCCCGCTATTCTGAATAATATTTTGGCTGGAGATTCTTGTCATCGTTGCTAGATTGTTTAGATCAGATTAACGTTACATATGTGCCTGCCAGACCAGACCCATTTATAATTTCCACATTTGGTAGAAGGATCCTAAAACTAATATTTTCGATTAATTTATATTCCCATTTTATATTAACCTCCTTCTTTCTTTTCAATGGGTTGGCTCATCATTTTCCTTACAAAAACCATACTAACTTTTTTCCTGGGGCAAACTCAAGCTCACTCACACCCAATGACTAACCCACAACTTGGCTGCCGATCCTCGATCTTCGTCTACTAATGTGGAACCTCTTTGTTGTGCAACCTCTCTCTCTCTTCCAGTTCGTCAGAACTGCATCACTCCAGAGAACTACTATGGCAGCTGCGTGGCGCTTAGCTTCTGCCCCCAGGTGGTGAACATCTTCCAGACCACCAGCAGACAGCGCGCTGAGCGCTATGTGATCGCCCTGCAACGCAGCTGTGGCACCCGCAACATCAATGGGGATCCGGTGGTAGGGAGCACACCCTTTCTCTCATTTCTCTCACTTTGCGGCTATACTGAGCTTTCGCTTATCTTGCTTCTCCCTTCCTGCAGGTGTGCTGTACTTCTCCGCAGCAGAATAATCCACAGACCACAGAGCGGCCACCGCCACGCAATCCCTTCTTTCCCACAGAGCAATCGTTTGTGGGTCCTCAGCCGCAGCCAACTGGGCCCAATCGCAATCCCTTCCTGACCACGGAAACGCCATACACGCCACCCCTCACAACGCGTGCTCCGGCTACCACGGCAGCACCTTTGGTGGAGCTACGTGGGCCCGTCTGTCGTGGACCGGACACCAAGCCCGGCAATTGCATCGGTGAGTATTTCCGTGGCGTGTTCCCGCTCTCTTCTGCCTCTAACCATCTGCATTCCCCCATCAGATATCAAGAGCTGTCCCTTGCTGCTAAATCAACTGATTGCCAAGCAGAAGGACGCCAACTTCGTGAACTTCCTGCAGGCATCGCAGCGCATCTGCGGCAACATTGGCTCCACCGTCTGCTGTCCCAATGGCCAGACGGCGACGCTTTCGCCCGTAGTCACTCCCGCCGTCAGCACGGAGGATATACCCCGACGTCTGCCCAATGTGGAGGAGGGATGTGGGTACACGCTGAACACCTTCAAGAAGATAGTGGGCGGCGAGGTGAGCCGGAAGGGGGCCTGGCCCTGGATAGCGCTCTTGGGTTACGATGATCCCTCCTCGTCGCCGTTCAAGTGCGGTGGCACTCTGATCACAGCCAGACATGTAATCACAGCGGCCCACTGCATCCGCGAGGATCTGTAAGTGAAGGTTTCTCCTCTCTCTCTGCAGTTCTCTGTCCTAAAACCATCGATTTATTGCAGACTATTCGTGCGACTGGGCGAACATGACCTCTCCACGGACACGGAGACGCGCCATGTGGATGTTAATGTGGCCCGGGTAGGTTGAATATATCCCCACGATGTGTTCCTCTTTTAACTGGCGTTTTCTCTCCATTCAGTACGTGTCCCATGCGGAGTACAATCGCCGTAATGGACGCAGCGACATTGCCATTCTGTATCTGGAGCGGAACGTGCCGTTCACGGACAAGATCACACCCATCTGCCTGCCCCACACGTCACAGCTGCGTGGCAAGTCCTATGTGGGCTACATGCCCTTCGTGGCTGGCTGGGGCAAGACCCAGGAGGGCGGTGAATCGGCCACCGTGCTGAACGAGCTGCAGATCCCCATCTACGACAACGAGCAGTGCCGCGAGAGCTACGCCAAGCAGAATCGCTATTTCACCAACGATCAGTTCGACTCTGCGGTCGTCTGTGCGGGCGTTCTCACGGGCGGCAAGGATACCTGCCAGGGCGACTCTGGTGGCCCACTGATGATACCCGAGCCTTACCAGAACAGCGTGCGCTTCTATCTGATTGGCGTGGTCTCGTACGGCATTGGGTGTGCGAGGCCGGAGGTGCCTGGTGTGTACTCTAGCACCCAGCACTTTATGGACTGGATCATCGAGCGGGTCCAGGAGACGACGCCCTAAGACATGCCATCCATCCACCTTTATCCATTATATTTTCTACCTATTTTATAAGCTATATCTCCCCCAACTCGAAGTAAACTTTCTTCTCAGACTCTGTAAGCGTAAAACTCATAGAATTGCTGGGTTCTGGGTTCTGGGATCTGGAATCGAGTGCAAATATTGACACTGGCCCCTTTGTCTTGGGCCTTTGTTCTCATGACACCGCGGCGGGTTGTGACCTGGTTGTGCCTTGGGCTGATGTTTATGCTTATGCAAATCGGGGGCAAGACGATTCATCAATCATGCTGGTAATGATCATCGCGTCTTGGGCTTGAGCCACCCCTAGAAGAAGGTTATGTAAATGCGAGGATGCCTGGACATGAACTGCATTGTAATTGCATTGAGAGAAGCCACAAGCGCGGATTTGCATAACTGATCGCAGGCTCAGCGATGTCTTCGAGGTTCCCTCTATCGCTTGGGCGCCATCTCCATCTTACGCCGAACGAAAGGGGTACACAATAAGAACATCCCCTGCTCCACCATGACCCAAACGGCAGATGAACAGAAATCAAATGCCAGACACAATGTAAGACGAATCCCTTTAGAAGTCAGAACGCCTCCCGCGCATTTGTGGCCACATGGCATGGGGTGCTCTCGGTGCTGCTTGGGTCTTTTGTGTGTTGCATCCACATTGTGATTCCAATCGCATCTGGCAGATGATTTAGTGCTTAAGCGGGGAGAGTTCATTAAACTGGGCCCTGTTCAACTGTTCCCCTGTTCTCATTCATCTCTTTAAAATTAAGTTTCAATCACAACAGCGAAAGTAAAGCAGCAGGGGCACGGGGCACTGATCCCTTATCTGATCTGATCATCATCATCATCAATAATGCCAACAAAATTTGCATGCCAAGGAGTTTCCTTCCTTCTCTTGTTCTTTTTTTTTTTTGCCAAAATTTGCATACCTAAACCGCTTCCCAAAACCCCACCCCACCTTTTGCCACAAGGGTGTTAATATCATCATTAGCCGGATTCCCAGACAACCGACAAGATTTTTCGCAAGGGTTCGCATGGGTCTTGTGCCTTCTGCGGTGTCAAGAGGGATTTGCCCACAATCGCAAATGTAAACACGATCCGTCAATATCAATTGTGTTCTGCAATTGTGATCGATAGCGATGATAGCGATGATCTCTCAATTTGCAATGATCAATGAGGGCAATTGTTTGGTTTGGCATTGTCTTTTATCGCAAATCAATACTTGACTGCTCTATTTCAAGAATATGTTAGGTGTTATTGGAGTTTAAGGAGGTTCTGATTTAGGTTTAATTGTGATAGAGTTTTCCATGAAGGAGTTTATGACTTGAAGGATATAAAAAAGCAACAGAAAATCATGCAAATGGATCCCTGGTTATCCCTCTTTCAACTTGTATTTCTTCCGTTTAGAAAGAAATTAAATTAAATTTAATATATTAAATTATTCGTTTTGAACTTTACTAGAGTTTTATTTTATTTTTTATATTCCTAAATGATGCATTTATTTTAGTAATTATATTTTAGTATAGATCACAGAGATTACAAACTAATCATTCACTTAAAATACATCCTTCGACGAATCTAAACTAATGGAATTGCACTTGAATTATAACGATTTATATATCTAAATCTGGCACTACATTGGCATCTCATCTCTATTCAGCTAGGCTTCCGGGGAGGCGGCGGCCGCGGCATTCCTTTTCAGGGCCAGAACTTCGTTCAGTGTGGGACTGAGGGCGAGGGCGGGATTGGCCACGGCTATGATGTTGTCCCCCGCAGCTGAGATGACCTGGACACCGCTCAGAGTTGAGGGCGCGGAGACCGAGCCACTTAGATCCACAGATTCGCAGGGCATGGACGAGGCATCCATCTGCCGCGACACGGGCGATCGCTCACCGTCCAGACCATTGCAGGCCGTCTGTGGTGGGGAGGATGGAAGAGACAAATTGTTCTTTACTCGGGGTCTACCTCCAAGGGCGGACTGCACGCATAGCGCTCCAACACATACTCACTGGCATTGGCGGGGAGCTGGACGAGTTACTGAACGAGAACCGCGAATCGTTGTCCTCAAAGTCGGCCGTCTTGCCCAGTCTGGAAAGAGGATATGGATGACTTCTAGTTACATTCTATAAGGATTTCACTCTCATACTCACGAGAACTTGGCAATCTCCGTGAGGTCGAACGGCGGCTTGGCGAACTTCTGGTACATGGCAAAGAGATTGTAGCGCGAGTCCTCCACAGCTTCCTTTTTTTGTGAATGTGGGTTATCAATGAGATCATGGATTAAAGTCTCTGCAGTGGCTAACAAAAGTCTGACTAAAAATTGAAGCTTGAAGCTAAGCGTGTGGCAAGCAAAGAGTTCTTGTGGCAAACGGAAGAATAGACATGTGAATCGTTGGCTTGGAGATTTCGTAGGATTCATTTATTGACGTTCAACAGAGAGGAGGAGGTACAACAATCAATATACATATATTGCAAAGGTCTACCGACTAAATAACTTGTGGCTATACTAAGTCAAACATCGATTATAGTAGCTAAGAGTAAGGGGTTAGTAGCAAGGTTAAAGGTGAGAGTTTAGTAAGGATCAAAGATAAAAGAAATGGCAGAAATATCAGTAGCAAAAACACAACAATCTAGCATAAGATAATACTGAATAATAATACTACAGATTGCAAGTTCTATATACAAATAGGACTCCCCCATAGGGAGGGAAGATATATGATATGATTCAGGCTTAAAACCGATCCCAAGAAGGTATCCAAGATATTCTTAAAAGAACCTCTCGATTGAAGGTGTTAGTGTTAGTATTTGTGTTCTGCGGATCGCGAAAGCTGCAAAGCAAAGTTTTGGTTATTCCCCACCCACACCCAAAGCTGGAAAGCTGCTGGCTGAAGCTGAAGCGGAAGCACTGCACCAGGCGACGCACTTACGCACTTACGGCTCTACGGACTTGATCTTCCTTACCCTGTTGAGGTCCATGGGCAGCTGTGCCGCCTCCGTGGAGGAGAGACGCTGCCGCTTGGGCGGCATCGATGCATCGCTCGACTCGCAGTCAACATCGCTGGGCACACAGCCCGAGCCAGAGCCAGAGCCACGCGCTCCACCCGCACCCTGGGCACCCGGAAGCTGGGTGAGCAGTCCCCCGTAGCGTGCTATGCTCGCCGAATGTCCAAATCCAGCATCCTTTACTATCTGACGCGCCAGAGGGAAGAGCTCGTCGCGTCGGGTGAGCAGCCAGATGGTCTGGGGGTTGCGGCAGAGCTGGGCGGCCGCCTCATTGACGCACACCTCGTGCAGCGTGAGGGGCTTCTCGGGACGGCGCTTGCAGTCGAAGCGGCCGTAGATGGCCGAGTACTTACGGATCTCGTCCATGCGCCGTGGATCGTGCTCGCTCATGGCTATCACCTGCTCCAGCTCGCGGGTGGTGCGCTTCCGGGTGGTCTGGGCGCGTGGCTCCCGCTGCGGCAGCTGGCGGCCGATCTTCTCGGCGCACATGGTGATGCGCTGGATCTGCATCTCGGTGAGAACCGGCGTCAGCTGTGGCGAGCTGGAGGAGACCTGGTGGGCAGTGCTAACCGAGACACAGGCCGCGGATCCCGGCATGCTGCTGGGATTGGCATTGGCATGTGTCTGGGGTGTGGGATTGCTAGTCAGGGGTGTTGTAGAGGGCAGGACAATGGAGGGCAGGACGGGCACCGAGGTACAACTAATTTGGGATATCAGGTGGGGGACAGTCGTGGCAGCCGTGGCCGTCGCTGTCGCTGTCGCGGCGGTTACAACCGGACCCGTGGTCGGCACAGGGGCCGCCGAGGGCTGGAAGGAACCTGTCGCATGGAAGGAGGGAAATTTCTGGCGTGGCAGGGCAGGCGTTGTGTCCGGATTGAAGACCAGCGCTGGCTTGGGCGGCGTCTCACACAGACCTGGAAGCATCATCACGCGTTCAGTCAACGAGACCAGGAGCTGGCTGGGATCACGCTTACCCAGCTGCGGCATGAGGACACCCTGGAACAGAGCAGGATTGTTGGCCCACTCGTGCAGGGCCTTCTGCAGGCGACGCACATGCAGCGGCTTGGATGCCATGCCCACCAAAGCCATGATCTCGAGGAACTCCTCCTCGCCGGCGTCGTACAGCTGCTGCACATCGTCGCCGCCCATCTCCAGGAGCGTGTCGTAGTAGGCCAGCAGACTGGCTCGCTGGAGCACTCGGTACAGCTGCACCTCCGCCTCGTTGCCCGGCCGCGATGTGGTGATCACTGCAAAGACGCACAAGGAAGAGCAGAAAGGGAAAGGCTTAAAAACAGTTTCAACCAAAAAAAAAAAAACAGAAAAACAGGAGGCAAAGAAAAAAAAAAATGATATTTATTAAGTTCTGGCCGGGGCCGTTCTCACAATGTTTTGAGCCTATAAGAAAAAAATGTTTAATTAAATTCGCTTTTTTTTCCTTAAAAAAAACTCGACGGACGTCTGGACCCTAACCTAACCCTTTTTTAGGCAACGCAAGAGGACAAGAGAGATCGAGCGAACGAAAGAAAAAAAAAAGCACAGAAAAAGGATGTGGCAAGAAGGGGTAGGGGAACTCGTCTCATCTGCATAACAGAAAGAGAGTGAGGGAGAGAGGAAGAGTGAGATATGCTGATTCAACCCTTTGGTCCCGAAGGATTCAGATCCGATCCGATCCGATGCGATGCGTTGAGAGTCGGCAAACTCGTTAGAAATGCGTCACGCAGCCCACAGACCCCGCCAAGGATTGCCAGGATCATTTTAATCTTTCCTCATTTAATTTTTTCGGTTTTATCACTTTCGATTTTTAGCAAAAAAAAAATAGACAGATACGCGCACAGGGGAAGGGGGGCGAGTAAATTAATTCCTTGAATTCCGTGTGAAATGTACAGAAAATGGAAGTTTTCTTTGGTTTCTTGAGCGATTTATTGCCCTCGCATCCTAATGATTTCAAGATTCCCGGATCGCTGAGGCAGCAGCAGCAGCAGCAGTTACTGTTATGGCACCACAGTCCAAAATGGACGAGACTGACGACACTGTCGCTGAAGATGATGATTATGTCAAATCGTAAATAATTATGTGAGAATATTTCAGTCGGCGACAGTCGCCAGTGCCTCTGCCACTGCCAGTGCCCGTAAAAGCCAGAAGAGCAGCAGCAGCTTTAATTAATAGAAAAACGAGCTGCTTGCCAACTAAATTATAACAGAGCAGAAAAACCATCGTACATCGATTGGCTGGCTGATTCTTCTGCTTCGTCTTTTACTGTTTTTTCGTTGCGACTCTGCGGACTCTGGGAGCAGGGAGAGAGAGAGAGGCGTCAGCAGTCAGCAGCACCACCAAGGTACAAGCGCATCCACCAACGACAGGCAGACACCAAAGATGCGATGCGATGCGCTTTGCTCTTCTCACTTGCAGCCAGTTCTTGTCATTAACCCATCACTGGGTCCATGGGGCTGTTATAAGTTATGGGTGTTCTAAAGAAGAACAAGAAGAATGCGTACTGAGGGGAGGTATACAAATGCCTTTTCAGCTTTGATTGCATCTGTCGGAAATGCTCTCGAGACTGAACTCGCTATTTATACTTGAAAGCTGATCAATAACTAGTCTAATGGCTAGCCAAGGTTAACTGGAGTATTAAAAATGCCTTTGAATAGCTGAGAGTGAAAGTGTTGCAGTTGCCATTGCTCTAAAATTTAAAGCTTAGATTTAGAGTCTAAACTATGAAAAATAATTAACTTGCAGCTCTCTCATCTCTAAACAAATTGACACTGGTACATCCAGTGGTGTCCGCTCAAGGGTTAATGGACAGCGCAGGCCACACTTCTATTCTCTGCAGCCCCCCTTCCCATCCTTTCTCGTGTGGGTATTTAACACAGACTTGCGTAAGTCGGGAGTCTGTCTGGTGGCTAGTCTTGTGATGAAGGGAGAGCGGCATATATACATTTGCTGCAATAAATAAATGAGACGTGATTTCAATACACAAATAATGTCACTGTCAAGGGGGCGGCCAGAGTGGGAGAGAGGAAGAACAGTCAGATCCAGGCGAGTGAGGGAGAGACTGGCATGATCGGCAGCAGCGCTGCTTCTGCGCAGTACGCACTGACTGCAGCAGAGAGAGCTTTGCTTTGCTCTGCTCCTTCTCGTTCTGCCTCTGCCTCTGCCTCTGCTTCAGTTTCAGATTGTTGCTGATTTTTTACTTATTTAATTTGCGGGTTTCTGTTTTTTTTTTTTGTTGTTGTTGTTGTTTTTTTCTGCTTCTGTTTCTTTGCTTTTGCTGTTGCTGTTGTTGCTTTTGTCATTGGCTAAATATGTTGTTTTTATGCGAACGGCAAATGGGTAAAAATGGACAAAAAATTAACTGCAGTAACTTTTTAGTTGGCACTTGGAAGCAATAATGACATTCGACGCCACATACCAAGCAGCTGCCCAGAAGGAGTGGGCACCAGCAGCACCAGGAATAGGGACCAGGAACCAGGGACCAGGGACCAGGGACCATGGGCCAGACAGAATATGCGTCTGACTGTGTGTTTGTTTGTTTGTGTGTGCGTGGAGCAGTCAATCGTGCGATCGCCTTCGATTATGGGCAAAAAGTAGACGCCGGGACAAACAGAAGCAGCAGCAGCCAGCAGCCGCAGACTTTTGACTTGGAGTTGGACCGACCTGGAGCTGGATCTGAGACCTGGGACCTGTGCCTGTGCCTGCGCCTGCGCCTGGGGCCATCCCTCCTCAGATGGCATTGGCAATGGGCAAGTAACCGAAACTATTTCTCATATACAACGATAAATTAAAAGCCAACTTTTTAAACGACCAAATTCTTGTCGATCAAAATTCCATTGGTGGCAATAACTTGGCTGGTACGAGTACGTGCCAATGGCCCGATGATGGCCAGCCAGACGACGGAAGACAAGACCCAAAGCAAAGCTCCTCAGACCTCAGAGCCCAGACCCCAGGCCAAACCAAAGCGAACCATAACCATAACCTGGCGACATCTTTGACAGAGCCAGAGAGAGGCGGGAAACGTATTCTGCAATCAGCATTTTCCAGCGAGAAGAGAACGCGTCTCGTTGGCTGAATCAGGAGATCGGAATAGGGGTGGGGATCGACAGGAGTCTGTGTCTGTGTCTGGGAGAGATCTTTGCTACCCTCAATGTTTGGGGTGAGTTTTTTTTGTGTTCTTTTTCTATACAACTATTGTTTGTTACCCCTAAGGCAGGGCAGGGCAGGGCCTATCATCATTAAGTTGATCTAACGGCTGCCACTGGCAAGCTGCATTACCTGGCTCTAGAGTCGATCTCATTGGATGAGGACTGCCATTGCTCTACCTGGATGCCAGGAAAAGAAAGAACTTTTGAGCAGATAAATATGCTAAACAGACACCCCGAGCGAGAGGCGGCAGCACCAAGGATGTGGAAACCGGAACTCAATCCGCGATTCTTTCTACAATTGTCTCGGAAATAAATAATGGCAGAACGCAAAGGTAACTTTTTTTTTGCGGCGTCCTCTATTGTTTATCAGGCCCAAGGTCCGTTAGGGCAAGGGGACAAGCTTATTCTGGGTTCTTCCCAGTTTCCGTTACATAACAGAACAATGGAATGCGAGGCGAAGCTCGAAAAAGAGCGCGAAAATTGCAGCATTGTGGTGGCAGGGCGAAACTTAATGAAGGATTTGCTAAGGCTAAAGGAATGGGAAGTTACTATAGCAACCATAGATATATAGAGATATCTGCATGTAAGAAGAGTTCATTCGAGGATGGTTGAACTGCATCTCTAAACAATTATCGAATTACTAAGGAATATATATTTGTATTTAATTTTGATTTATTCCTAATGCTACAAGAAACAAGTCAACGCAATTGAAATTATAAAAAAACAACAGAAATACCAAGACTAAGGACATCTGCATGTCTGCATAACAGAACATCTGTTCATTTTTGCATAAAAATGGTAAATGATTTTAATAGAAACCCTTTTAGAATTTAATTTAATAAATGTATGAAGTTATGAAACAGGTCAATTTAATAAATGTATGAAGTTATGAAACAGGTCAACGATTGGTTCATAAAAAAGAAAAGGAACATTTAACTAACATTCCAGAGAGCTAAACTCATCCCGAAGCAGCTACCTCTTAAGTTGGATTCCCAAAACCCTTTCAAATAATCTAAGTCTGTCTACAAGATTCCCAAAATTTCGTAGATCCCCTCCTCTGTGTGATCAAGACCTTAAGCATACAAAAACACAACCTATATAATTATTGGGGAATCTCTTCTCCCTTTCAACTTACTTGTTCCATTCGCATTCCTGCCGAAGATCTTGCCCTGTGGACTCAGAATGGGACTGGAGGATGCCGACGGGGCGCCGGAGAGGGAGCGCTGACCCTCGGACAGCCCGCTGGCCAGTGACAAGTTGTACAGATCCTCCTGCTTGGCGGCCTCCAGGCTGGTGGTCAGCAGCTGTGACTGCGTGACGTGGGTGGTGGGCGTGGCAGAGGTGGAGGTGGAAGCTGCAGCCTGACTCAGACTCCCGCTGGAAGCTGGCTGACTGTGACTGTGACTGTGCTGACTCTTGCTGCTCGTACTGGCAGCCGGCGAGGGGGTGGACACCACTACCGTTGACGAAGTGGCGGTTGTGGTCGGCGTGGTGGGGGAATTGGCATTGGCCTCCATTGTTGTGTGTTGATTGTGATTATCCTTTCCGAGACGTGGCGCAGCGGAAGAACACAGGAACCAGGCACAAACACAAACAACCAAAATGAAATGCATGCAAAACCAAACGACGAACACAAAAACGGATGTGCTAGGGATCGGGATTCAACTACAATCTACTATCTTAACTACACTAATTTCTCCCGAGGAGCGCTGGGGACACTTCGGACACAGCGAGAGAGAGAGAGAGAGTAGGAGCAACAGTAACACACGAGAGCGCGCTTCGCAAGGTTATTTATTCTTTCGATCTCTGCGATCCACTCAGCTCGAGGCCAGACGAAGTTCTGTTGTCGTGTTGCCGCGTGGACGGCTCGGGAACCCTTTTCCCGAAGCAGCAGCACCACTCGGACCCGACACTGCTTTCGTTTTCTTCCAGGGAGGAGCGCGGGACGAGGACGCTGCACAAAATCACGTAGCAGACGAAAGGGTTCAAGCAGGGATAAAAACAAAGCAGACGCAGGAGAGGGAGTGTGAGCGGTGCGGAGCGGAGCGGAGCGGTGCAAGGGTATTGGCGCTTCCAGTTTTCTTTCCTTCGAGGGTAAGTTTTTATTTCCAGATGTGCCAAAGAAGCTTCTCCCGTGAGCACACACACACGGAAAGAGCAGGAGAGAGCGAGAGAGAGAGAGCTGAGTAGAAATCCAAAGTTGAGTGAGTGTTTTGTGCTCCGCCTCTGGGAATAGATCGCAGCTTTGAGTGTTTCCAGAAGAGAGGATATCTTTTCGTGGCTTGATGATCCTTTTTTTTTTTGCTGATATTTTCCGTTAAAACTGTGGAATATTTAAATTAAATTCAATCCAAGACATGCATAAATTTGTGAGCAAAAAAAAAAAAAGGTAGAATATGAAAACCCTTTCTGTTCGATTTTGTTTCCCAGGAAAACGGCAAAGAAAAATGGAAAATTCCAAGGATTTTTTGTGTTTATATATTTTGTACTCGTATATACAAAAACAGTTTACAATAGGGGGGTTTCTTTATTATCAAATAGGGGAATACTTTTAAAGATTGCCGTTTACTCTCTATCGATAATCGTAATAGCTATTATTATTATTGGATCCGACCAGAACCGAATCGAATCGAATCGAACGGAACCGAATCGATCCATTAGATTTAGGTATGAATAGATTACACTAGGATTTAGGGCTTTAGGGTTAACAGTCGAAGAGCAGGAACCCCGGGGCTATCGTAGGCCGTTCCGGTAATACCGGACACCGCTACAAGAGCAGGGTTCCCCGAGCTGGGGTGTTCCTCACTATAAGTTATTCACGCTGATGATCTGATTGATCCAGCCGATGAACGAGGACGTCTTCACATAGACGCCGGGCACATCCTGGCGGCCGCAGCCAAAGCCCCAGGACACCAGGCCAGCGAGCTCGTAGAAGCCATCGTCCTGGCACACCAGCGGACCGCCACCATCGCCCTGGCAGGCATCGTGTCCCTCCTCGCCGCCAGCACAGAAACTGGAGGCGGGCAGTATGAAGATCTTCTCCGTCACGGCATTCACCTTCCGGATGCACTCCGTGTCGCTAACAATGGGTATCTCCGCCTCGCGTACCCTCAGGGGTATGGGACCAGCTGGAAAACAAAGAGAGAAAGTCAGAGAGTGGCAGGGTAATGCGATGGCGAGCAGGAGACCCACCTTCACCCATGTAGCCGTAGCCGGTGACCGTGCATCGCTTGCCCGCCGCATGGCTAACGCCACGCGCTGGCAGGCACACCAGACAGACGCCATCCCGGAGTTCTGCCTGTCCGTGGAGCTTCAGCAGGGCAATGTCGTTGTCCAGGGTCTGGCTGTTGTGATTGTGGTGGATGTAGGTGGTGGCCACGCGCAGCGTCTGGGCTCCTGGACTGCCGTACTTGCGGGTCAGATCATAGTCGCCCACTCGCACGTAGATGGCATCTCCGGAACGAACAATACTAAGGATAAAAGTCGATTAAAGGGAATCCAATGGCGGTTTGGCATTCAATCACTTACTTGGTGACGCAGTGGGCCGCTGTCAGCACCCACTGGGTGCCGATGAGTGCCGCTCCACAGAGATATTGGTTCAGGGAATTGATGAGAGCCACCTGCCAGCACCACTCGCCGTTCTCTCCATCCTCGCCGCCCACCACGCGGGCCCTTCTACGGCCGCTGTAGTTTGCCGCCTGCAGCGATCGCTGCTGGTAGTAGTCCGGATACACAATCTCCGGCTGATCCGACGCCGAATGGCTGTGGTAGGAGCGCAGCTGGTTGCTCTGCAGACTGGCACCGGTCTCCACGAGGTCTCCGAGCTTATCGTTGTGGATCTGGATGGGCACGATGGCGGAGCCGAGCACCAGCCGCTCGTTGGACTTGTTGAAGTTGCTCGCGTACGCCGCGACGGAGGTCATCTGGCGGGCGGAGCGTTGCACACCGTACTTGGCGCGGGCGTAGGACACCAGCGAGAGGGCAGGGGACCTGCCGGCACGTCCTGTGCGGAGGGTTCCCTTGACGCCGCACACGTACTTGGAGTAGACATGCGGTCGCGGAGTCGTTGTGGTTGTCGTCGTGGTCGGAGGCGTGGTCATCGGGGGCTGGGGCTGCGGCGGCAGGACAGGCTGCAGTCCGGGACCAGACTGACCGTAATAGTCCGCATAGCTGGGCGGTCCCGGGGGAGGAGGCGGTCCTGGCTGGTGTTGCTGGTAGGGATTCGGGTGATGAGGCGGCATTTGCGGCGGCGGACCCTGCGGCTGCTGGTTGGACATGTACGAGTACGGCGGAGGCATGGCAGCCGGCTGTGGCGGATAGGCCTGCGGTGGACCCATGGGCGGCGGCGGCACAGGGTAGTAGGCGGTGTCGTTGCGCGTCTGGAACTGCTGCCGCTCGAGGATCTTGCTCTTGGGGGCACAGCAGATCTGGCCGGAGCGCTTGCACCGGAACAGGTCGGTCATCTCGGCGTTTTCTGTAGGAGATTACGGGCTATCATCGGGATGATCCCACAAAAGGGATGACAATTTTACTCACTGAAGCACGTGAAGCTCAGCAGACTGACGATGCAGGAGCCGGGACACTCCTCGCGTGGATCCGGACTGGGCGTATTGTGCAGCACATAGGGCGGGGCTGTGGGCGGCTGTGTAGGCGAGGGCGTGGCAGGCGGTAGCTTGGGCTTGGGCGCACCGGCGCGAGAGTTGTCGCAGCACACGGAGCCCTTGGCACAGGTCGTGGCCGTGGAGACGAGCACGGAGGGACGCTCGCAGAAGGCCGCCATGATGTTCAGCAGACAGAAGCCCGGACAGCGTGGCACCTGCGGCGGCGCCTGCGGAGGCGGTGGGGGTGGAGCCGATGAGGGGGCGCTCAGTGTGCTCTCGGCAAAGGAGATGATCTGCGAGAGCAAATCTCCACCGCCGCCGCCTCCTCCTCCTCCCAGTGGATTCGAAGACGCTGGCGGTGGTGCGGCGGGACGAGCGGGCTTTGGTGCGGGCTTGGGGGCATGCTTGATGGCCGGCTTTGTGGGTGGCGGCGGCTTGGATGTGGGCGCCTCGGAGCCACCAGTACCAGTGACACAGCAGCTGCCCTCGCCCGGACAGAAGGCCTCCGAGTCGATGTCGTCGCAGAAGATGGCAAAGATGCCGTTCATACACTCGCCCTCGCACTCCTTGAGCACCTGCCCCTGGTCGTTGGCCTGCCCAGACTTGAGCTTGTTGCTCAGCGGCGCCTCCTCTTCCTCCTCCTCATCGTCGGCCTCCTCCTCGTCCTCCTCCTCGGCGGCTGCTTCAGTGGTCGTTCTGGTCGGATGCTTCTTGTGTTTGCTGGGCTTTGCGGAGCTATTGCCGTTGGTCCTTGCTGGCTCTGGGGTTGTGCTAGTTGTGGTTGTTGCCTTGGTCGTAGTTGTGGTGCTGGTGGACGTGCTGGTGGAGCTGCTTGCCCTTGTGGGCGCAGACTTTTCGGATATCGTCTGATTCGGCTTGAGGTTGCTCATGTGTTCTGCAGGGAATGGACAAAGCTCTGGTTAATGGGAGGATTCAATGGTTGGGTTAATCTTGAACCTACTGGCTGGAATGTAGATGTCCTTGGGCAGCTTCCCGTTGGAGTACTCGTCCAGGGAGACGCAGCATTTGGTGCCCTCCTTGCACAGTCCATCGCTGGTCAGGTAGGCCTCGCAATACTCCGCTATCCGATCAGCCACACAAACGCCCGTGCAGTCCTCTAAACAGGACAAAGAAGAAACGTTAGCAGGGCCTTCTTGGCATCTTCCGCTGATCTTACTGTTCACATCGTCCGTGGTCTTGGTGGCCTCATCCTTGTCCTTGGGCTTTGTCGTTGTGGCCTTCTTGGTGGTGCTGGGCTTCTTTGTGGTGGCCGCCGTGGCTTTGGTTGTGCTGCTGGCCGGACGCTTGGGCTGTGGCTTGGGCTTGGGCTTCGGTGTGGTAGTTGTCGCCGTGGTGGTGCTGCGCCTGGTAGTGCTAGTGGTGGCCACTGTTGTGGTTGTCCTTTGCGTCGTTGTGGTGCTGGGTGTGGTCGTTGTCTTGGGCGTTGTGGTTCCTCTCAATGCAGTGGCATTTTTACCTTCAAAATGAAAGGATTAGAACTTTTTCCGGGCTCAAATCCGTTGTGATCCTCACCTGGTGCATTCTCGATGCAGCATTTCATGCTGGGCGACGGACAGGGCACATTGTCGAGCACCTCGTAGCAGATGAGAGTGGCCAGCGTGTGGACACAGACTCCGGGACAGTCCTTGGCATCCGCCGTGCTGGTTATCGTATCGAGCAGACCTTAGGGAAGATCATGCTGATGAGCTGCTTGGAAATAGCGAGTTTCTCCCCCTTACCTGATAGAAAACTGCCAGCCAGGGACTCATCCTGGGCCTGAACTGCCGATGGACTCACCAGCAACAGGCTGAGGAGACTCAAGGCGAGGATGCTGCTGCCCGTTTGGCTTGAAAAGCCTTTCATTTCACGATGTTGCGCCATGGTCAGCACGTGCTCATTGCTTTGGCCAATAGTCTGAGAGAATCGGAGAAAAGAGTGAAGTAATTAGCGTTGGTTCAAGTGAAAGTCGGGGCCACTGACTCATCTGCCAAGAGCCCTCACTTGTGACGTAATGCAGTGGCAGCAGCAGCAACAGCTTGGGGCAGATGCGAGAGCATTGCCACCTCAAGATCTCTGAATTGTGGCAAAATGCGATAAGAAGTTAAACCCGTTTTTCACACATTTTTACTCAGAGTTAGGAGTGGACTGGGTTCGGTTCCCACTCCACTCTGAGCATGATCTGCGGCAGGTGCCCCAATTAGTTATTACGTATACGTATCCATACCCATACCCATTCCACACCCATACCATTCCCGAGTGGCAATGCCAAGAGTTCGTAACGGACCACAACACTCCAGTTTCAGTTCCAGAGACAATTCCGGCTTAATGGATGTGATATGATATGTATTTGGGTTGCCCAAGAACCAGAAATGGAAATGGAAACAGAGAAAGAATCGTCAAGCCAAACTGGTTGCACGCCTCCTCCCCGATCCGAACTGTAGACAGACCATTTCCATGCAAATAATAATAATTGTACGAGTATCTACCAGCAGAAAGATGACAATGGTAAAAGCCGAGGCATTCTTCCAAAATGGAACCGTTTAATGAATGAAATAGAAAGTACTTAGTGGCACGGCAAGTACATAAACAAAACGAAATGAAACCTACTCCACTCTTCAGATAGAGATCTTTCTTAGCGAAAGTGCAGCCGAACGGATGACAACTGTGTGGACAATGGAATTGTACCCCGGACTCACGTGCGGGTTGGGGTATCTTCTCGAAGCTTTCTAGGGAAAACCGGAAATTTCAGGAAGGCACTGGGCAAAGACTATATTAATCACAGCCGCGAGGCCATAATCCTAATTCTTTCTAGAAAGTGACTTGGACAGGGGTCTTTTGGTTAGCCAAAAACCAATTCTGGCCGCTCCCCAGAAGACTGCAAAGGCAGAGGCACACACACACACGTATTTTGGGTCAAGACGTTTCTCTCTCATTGGCAGCTCCCCTCTTTGTGCTTCCTTCATTCTTGCCCCATTCTGTCAGTCAGCACGCCTACGCCATCATGAATACCAAGTCCGGCACCAAAACCGATAACTAGGTCAGATGCATAAGGCGCGACGGCGTTAACACCGATCCGATCCGATCCGATCGTTCGTTCCCCCATTCATACTCTGTCTCTCTCTCTCTGTCTCTCTCTCTGGAGAGTTTGTTCTTGGAAATCACTTGAAATTCCAGTTGCTGAATTTGAATTTCACACCACGAAAGAGAAGAATGAAAGAATGTCTTGTCAAAAACAAACAGAAATGCCGATGGAAGAACGGTTAACCTTAACTGTAAACGACACACGCAGGCGCACGCAAACGCAAACGAACACGAACACACATGCACATGTGGACCTGTACGCCGCTTCCGCTGTCCATCCATCTATCGTAGTTGATTTTGAAGCTGCTTTTCAATTTGCAAAACGATTTTGTTGTTGTTGGTTTCTTTCGTTTTTAGCACTTCCATAAAAGTTCCAAAAGAAAGGCACATAAACACCAAAGTACTAGCAGCAGCAGCAGCAGCAGCAGAAGAAGCAGAAGCAGGAGAAGAAGGAGGCGAAGAGGCAGTAGAAGACCGACCACGTCAAAGAGGAAGAGGAACCACTCTTCGCCTAAGGCTCGTCGGTTTACGAACAAGTTAAGCGACTTATTCTGCTGCCTCTCTCTCTCTCTCTCTCTCTATCTCTCTCTCTCATTATTTCTTTCTTTCGGAACGTATCATAACGGTAAGCAGCAGCAGCAGCAGCACACACACAAACTGTGAGCTGGCAGCCAGGAGACAGTCCATAGATGCCGTCGTCACCTTGGAATGCACTTGGAATCCGGCACAAGACACACTCCCACCTGCACTTGCTGCACCATATGCAAAGTCCACTTGAAAGCACTCAAACACGCACACACACATATCCGTACACCACTCACAATGTTTTAAAATTAGAACAGAAGGAGGATCGTACGATCCACGGCAACCGTTTGCTTAGTTGACGCTGCTGTTAAGAGAGGCGGAGGCGACGACTCGACTGCACCTTGCGAAAGCCAGAAACGATCTGACCAGCGATCAAGGTTCTCATCGCTGGTAAGCCAGAAGAAGCCAAGCTTGGCGCTCAGGCAGCTGCCAAGGCCAGGCCCCGGGTCCGATTCCGATCCGCGGCCACAGCTGGAGAAAGTGTGGAAAAGACAGGCAAAGAGAGAGCTCAAAAGTTTAAAGAGAGGCAATCTACCTACCTGGCTATGACTCTCTTATGACCATCACCTGTTTGCGTGCTCTCTCCTTCTCTTTTGACCATCCATCACCTGTTTGAGTGTGAGTGGCTGGCGTTACCTGGCTGCCTGGCTGCTTCTTTTGTGTGTCCGTGTGCGGCCCATAAACAAGGATGGCATGGGATTCATGTCGATTGGTCGCACAAATTTCCACTTAAGATCGAGGGTTAACCATTTTGAAGACATTTTTATTAGCAATCCCTTGCCGCTACCCTTGCCAAAAAGAAATAGCATTGCACCCCCCGGAGTGTGCCTACTTATCGGATTAGCAATTGCAATTTTCGAACCGATCTGCGATCATCATTTTTGCGCATTTGCATTCTGTTCGGGGCTTAGTTATGCAAATTTCAAGTGCAACAAGATGCTGCATAGGTACATATCTTACATATGCTAATTTACAACACATTTTCGCAAGTCACAGCCCTGCAGCCTTTCAGAACCCTGATCTGCATCTTGATCTTCGCTTGGGTTCGGTTGGGTTTGGGTCGAGTAGAGCTGTTGACGTTTCTCTGTTGTCAAACATTGTAGAAATGCAATTATGAGTGCGCGAATCTCTAATGAGCAACTAAGTAGGCAATGCAGATCCTCTCATTTGCATACCGCCTGGGAAAACTGCATAATCCGATTAGAAGGGAATTTGTGGTTCAGTGGGAAAATTTAATAATTATAGTTTGTTTCCAAAACAAAGTAGTTACATTTACAATATGAAACTACACAAGAGACGCGTTTACTTCTATCCAAAATTATAATACTCAGTAGTACACGCTTTTATCTCTTCAATTACTGAATATAAGTCTCGGAGTTATATCTAAAAAAAGACAACAATGGCACCTAGTAGACAACATACATATACGAGTATCCTTGGCCTTTGCTACTCCAACAATCGGGTTGGGTAAGGTAATCAAATGTCTAGGCAAATGAACAGTCTCTGTACAGCCTCTTTTGGTGTGGTGTCCTTCGGCCGCGGATGTTCCCAGGCTCTGGCGCGCATCCTTCGTTTCGGGGCAAAATCTTCTCAAGATGAAACTTCACACGACAGTCTCGGATCGCAATTTGAATAAAACGCTGCATAAAAAAAATTGAAAGTGGTAAAAAAAGTGAAAAAACTTCCTAAAAAAAAACCTAGTGGAAAAAAAAGTATTTATCATTCCGTGCGTGTGTGTGAGAGAGGAGAGGAGTATTTTATACCTGGAATCTGGAAGGCAAATAGATAAGGAGACGCTGTCGCCGTCGCTGTTGTTGGTGGTGGTGGTTCGTCCTTCGTCCTGCGTATGCAAATTTGATCGCCCGAGTCCGTGATGATTCCTTTTCAATTTGAACAATGCCGAGGGTCGCCCGATCGCCCTGTCCCCTGGCCACACATGTTTTTGTGTCTGCGTTTTTTCTACATTAATCGTCCTATTTAAAAAAAAAATGATAAACCCTTTTGCTTCTCCGTGCGGTACATTTTTTTTTTCGAAGATTTTTCCCCGTTTTTGATGCGGCCTGTGTGAGGTTCATCTTTTTTTTTTTAGCTTAAGTCATCCCGTTGTTGTAATTTCACTTTTTCCGTGAGAACTTTTAGTCGATGTCTTGGGCGAAATTCGTGGAAGAATGAGATGAGGCAAAGGATAGGCATGGGAGATGAGGGATAATGGATAAATTATCCTAGACAATATGATTTTTGAACTAGGAGCAGTGCAGCAACTATTCTTGTTTAAATTAGATGCATTTTAGTAAGGAAAAATCAAGAAATAAATAATAAAATAAATCAAGTATAAATAAAACGGAACTATTTTAGAATACAATTTACTTCTAAAGATTTTATTAAAATAATTCCACCTTAGAAACCAAATCATGTACTCTTCACTATTGTGGTTACAATCTTTATATTTTTAAAATGCAAGACACAATTTATGCCTTAATAATCAAGAGGCCTGCCCTGATCCGAGCCCCGACCCCGAACCGGAGCCAGCATTGCCAGCAATCTACCCCCCGGGGTGATGTTCGATGACGATGATGATGATCTTGTGGAGGTACTGGTGCTGGCCTGGCCTGAGATCTGACCGGGTTTCCTCAATTTGCATATCAAGGAGGAACGAGAACCCTTGTAAGTTTTAAAGGGGTGCCACCGACGGGTGCAAGGGTCTTGGTTTGTCATGGGAACAAAAGATGCATTCAGCGTCGAAGAATAGATGAAATCAATATTTGAGGTAATTAATTAACAGCATCAATATTGGAAGAATGGAAACCAACAGCAATATTCACATTTAGCAATCAATTGATTGACAATTCAATAATATCTTGGAATATGATCAGCGAAAGTCACTAATGATCGTATTTCAATGTTTAAATTCAGTGAAATTGATTGAAAGTATTTTGTCCTGAATGCACACCATAAGAGAAACCTCCTTGATAATATGAATAGCAGCCCAACGGCCGATTTTTTCGCCCACATTTTATCAGAATGATTTTAACTAAACATTTGCTCATTTAGCAACATGTAAAAACAAGAATTATTCAAACAAATAACAAAATACACAATAGAGTAGAAATGCTTTCATTCAACATGAGTTGTTCAGTTTCGTTTCGTTTAGTTTAGATCCCAACTGTGGAATGGAAACCTATTAAAAATAGCAATATTTTTGTGTGTGTTTTTAGCCAAATAAAACTCCAAATCCATTCTGCACCACAAATTGTAAATTGTCAAAAATAATCAGGTTATCTGTTCCAAAATTGCACAAGAAATCAAAATAGATAATATCCATAAAATAATTTATTGTAAGTATTCGACGATCTGAATTTAAAATTTAAATTTGAATCCAACGGATGCATGACATCTTTTTACAGCTGTCTGGCAGCACTGCGATGATTTGACGACAATGCGTTAGGGGATTTGCGCAGCTGCTGCGGTCACACCATGCCCTCCCTGTACGTGTCCAAAACCATGAATTAAATCCTAAAATGTGTAAATATTCGCCAGATTTGTGAAATTGACAACAACAACAACAAAATCTCTGACTGCTCGACTCTGACGGCATTGCGCATTTCCCATTCACTTGCTCTTCGTCGGCGAACAGAAGAAGAACAGGTGCACGCAACAGCAGAATCAGCAGCAGCAGCAGCGACAAAAACACAAATAGAAATGTCTGCGAGGGGTACACGAAAAGTGCAGCGCAATCTGTGCGCATCGGTACTGGCGCTTCTGGTCCTCCTGTACTGGGCAGATCCCACGGGGGGATATTTTGCAGCTCTCGATGAGACGGAAACGAACAAAAACTGCTTCTGCGAGGTAAGTGGCTGGCCGTAGTCGCGTAGCTCAGACATGAAACTTTCTCATTTCCCACACGCACACACACACACACACACACGCACAGCTGGAGGGCTCCATCAACGATTGCAGCTGCGATGTGGACACTGTGGATCACTTCAACAACATGAAGATCTTCCCCCGCCTTCAGTCGCTGCTCGTGAAGAACTTCTTCAGGTTCTACAAGGTCAACCTCAGGCAGGACTGCCCCTTCTGGCCGGACGACAGTCGCTGTGCCATTCGCTTCTGTCAGGTGGAGAACTGCGAGGAGCAGGCCATACCCCAGGGCATCAAGGACAAGGGTGAACACAAGGAGAAACCTGCCGCATTCAAGGTAAGAGAGAGAGAGAGAGAGGGGGAGAGCGTACAGCGGAATTCCCCGGCAGAAAGAGAGCGTGCGGTATCAATATTCGCCGCTTATCAGAGGGCGTTAACTGTTTCCGTTCCATTCGTTGGAGTTGGAGTACGGCACTCCCCCATCCCCACTATCTGCAATGCTAAATGGGTTGGCAAGTGATTTATACACATTCCACTGGCCATAATCTCCCTGTGTCTCTGGGGCGTAAATCTTTGCGTACAATGATGTGGTGATATTTTGGTGGCATTGCTGACGTGTTCTTGCCCATTCATCCGCCCCCCTTTTGATTACAGCACAAACTTGATTGCTTTGTGTTCCGTCACGACTGACTTACAATCGAAGGTGGATCTGGGCTGGTTCTGCTGCTGTTTGCACAGTTGCCAAATGTTTTTACCTGTTGACTGACTTCCTCATCGTTGATTTTTGCAGTATACACGTGAGGCGCAGTCGACCAGCGGCTGCTCGGATGCCGAGGACTTTGACAGCGCCCTGGGTTTCCTGGACACGAGCATCAGCGATCAGGCGCATCGGGAATTCGAACTGTGGGCGAAGCATGACGAGGCTGAGGAGGACTTCTGCATAGTCGATGATCACGAAGAGGGTTCGCAGTATGTCGATCTGCTGCTGAATCCGGAGCGTTACACTGGGTACCGCGGCGATTCGGCCCATCGCATCTGGAACAGCATCTACCTGGAGAACTGCTTTGGCGGCAACAACGAGACCGCGAACAAATTTTCCAACTATGTCCCGCACTTGGATCTGCGAAATGTGTGCCTGGAGCAGCGCGCCTTTTACCGCATAATCTCGGGTCTGCACTCCAGCATCAACATCCACCTGTGCTCCAAATATCTGCTGTCCGAGTCGAAGGATTTCCTGGATCCGCAGGGCATCTGGGGGCCCAATGCCCAAGAGTTTAAGCGTCGCTTCAGCCCAGAGACAACAGGCGGCGAGGGGCCACACTGGCTGCGCAATCTGTACTTCATTTACCTGGTGGAGCTGCGAGCCCTGGCCAAGGCAGCGCCCTATTTGCGTCGCGAGGACTACTACACGGGGATTGCGGAGGAAGATGAGGAGGTGAAGCTGGCCATCAATGACCTTCTCAGCGTCATAGAGTGAGTAAACGAAGACTCCTCCTGCTCTCTCTCGGAGATTTACTAATCTTAAATGTGTGTTCAGATCCTTTCAGTCGCACTTCGATGAGAATGCTCTGTTCAGCAGCGGCATCGCCTCGATCAAGTTCAAGAGCGACTACAAGGAGAAGTTCCGCAACATATCCAGAATAATGAGCTGCGTGGGCTGCGACAAGTGCAAGCTGTGGGGCAAGCTGCAGACCCAGGGCCTGGGCACTGCCCTCAAGATCCTCTACTCGGAGAAGCTCAATCTGGCCACGGAGAGCGGTCTGTGGGACAAGCCGCACATCGAAGCGGATCCCATCTTCAGGCTATCGCGTCCAGAGATTGTGGCTCTCTTCAATGCCTTCGGCAGGTGCGTCCAAGCTTTGCCAGCCTTTCCAGATCCCACGAATCTAATGGTTATGCCCCTTCTTTTTGCTTTGCAGATTGTCAAACAGTATATACGAGATGGAAAACTTCCGACGTGTGCTGAGATAGCCTGACAATGAGGAGCCCTCAAGGCGGCATGAATCCCATTCAGTTCCCCTTAGCAGTTCGGCGTTGATGCTCGACTGTCTAGCTAATTTATACGCACATATTTGGGGCTGTATTTGGTGGATCTTGGTTACGGTTTCCCTCTCCCACACCCAGCCCCCATAGCAGAGGCTAGCGCACCCGGGAAAGCGGCATCCTTGTAAATAATATTAATTACCCCCGTAGGCTACGTGTACTTTAACGCCCTTTACCCAACCCAATCGAACAGACGGACGGAGGACGGACAGGTGTTTAGCATAAGTTAGAATATTTTATTTATTGTAGCAGAAGGGAGCTTATCCAATAAGGAGACTCAAACAGAACGCATTGTGCAATAACACGAACGCGAAAGAAACGAAAATAAATGTGAGAAAGATCGATGTTCAACCCCACCGGGGACTTGTATTTGTGGCACACGTCGCCAGGGAGCAACCGGTCATAGCAACCGACTTGTTTGCCTTTTCAACAACTGTCAGATTTGCTGTCATATATCTAAGTACATATATATTTCTGGCATTCATCGATTGATCGGGTCAGAAGCCGGCTGTCGTGTATTAATTCTATTTTCTCTGTAAAATGGTTGTCTTGCAAGTAAAACGCGGCGACGAGACGCTCTTTTTGTATGAGACAAGCGTGGGTGAGAAGACCGATTCGGTTATCCGAGATCTGGTGGCCATCCACAATGGCCAGCTAAAGGTGCAACGTGTGTGCATGGAGATTGAAGAGCTGGCCGAGCACGGCACCATGCTGCCCAGCGAAATGATTGGCCTCAACGACGATCAGATTGAGGAGCTCAAGCTGAAGGATATTTGGGCGGACAAATGCATCCCTTCGGGGGGCTTCACCTTCAATAAGGATCCCATGCTACGCCGCAACGGACAGCAGCCCAACGAGGCCATGGGCAAGGTGCTGGCCAATACCATAACCGAAGCCAAGGCCATGATAGATAGGGTAACGTCCACAGCATTATTCTTAGTGGCTTGGAATTCAATATAACTAACAACATAATTTGTTGCCCCCACAGAAACTGGCCAAGTCTTCGAAGACTCTGTCCCTGAAGGTGGTTCAGGAGGCCATCAATCTGCTGCGTGGTGCCGTGACCATTGTGTACCCCATGCAGCTGCCGCCACACGACACCATACGCATGGAGTTCACCAACACCGAGGATCTGAGTGGCACTCAGGCCTCCAAGGAGGTCATCGAGCCATCCAAAGCTCAGCTCTGGTTCGCCGGCCGTCAGATTCTGATGAACAAGCTGCTCAAGGATTATTTGGGCAACAATGACAAGACCAAGGTGAGTTGTTTCCCGATCCATCGAACTGTGATCTTCAGCAAACTCCATTCCAGGTGGTGGTAAAGCTCAATCAGCTGGGCGAGGGTCCGCCGGGACGTGAGGCTGTCATCTCCGAGCAGATGCGTCGCCAGATGATGGCTGATTCCTTTCGCCGCCAGGAGGAGCTCAAGGTAAGAGTCGTTTACATTTGTAGAGAGAATTTCAAATTGCTTTTTATTTGCTATATAATAAGTATACGAGTATAGGTACTCCCCAGTGTGTATATATATATATGTAAGTAGGCAATCAAAAAAGATCGAAACTAGTTAAAGAAAAAGTCTAGAGAAGATTTCCCTCCTTGGTCTGTTCTGGCTTCGTCATAAAGTAAACACAGTTCCGCTCGCAAATGGGAGCTACTACTTCTACTTCTATTTCTGGTTCCTAGTTCCCTTTTCTGGTGCCTCAGCAGATGTCGGGTTGGTGCTGGTGGGTTGTTGTAGTGTAAATGTAAATTCCATTTCGTGTCTTTTAAATGCAACTCCTCTTAAGGCACATCTACTGGCACCGGAACCGGAACTGCGAGCTTGGGCTCGAGTGGGATTGGGATTTCTTAGTGTGTAGCGTGGTGTGGTGTGGTGTGGTGTGGCGTGGCGTGGGAGTTGTCAGGTAAATAAAGCTCTTGTTCCTTCGATCGGTTCGGTTCTACTATATAGTATATAAGTACAAGTACATGTGTGCGTTTCTTCTATAATATATATGTATGTATCCAAGAAAAGCCTAGGTCCGTCTCCGTCCCATGTTCTATAAACGTTTTTATATTGTAAATGCCCCGAATAGAATCGAATCGAATCTTCAGTTCCCCCCCCATAAAGTTTTTTGGTGCTGTTTTCTGTACGAAAAGTTCTCATCGATGTCTCCTTAGAGGATAACCAGCGGTTTTTCGGGCACATCGCATTTGGCTGCCTTCTCTTGGTCCTCGTCAAAGTTCTGCTCACTCGTGTTGGAGTCTCCCGTGGGGCTGAGTGGTATCAGGGACTTGGTGCTGCCAATCATTTCGTGGCTGTCGAGCGGCAGACCGACAATGTCCTCCAGCTCCTGGCCGCCCACTGCCTGGTGCTCCAGGTCCACCACATCGTCGTCCGTGTCATACATTGGCTCGGGCCGCTTGCCCGCTGGCCCGGCTGCGAACACATCATCGTCCGACTCATCGCCGGCACAGACGCAGCGCATCTTGGCATCGTCGCCCACCTAAAAGAGAGCTCTTTGAGGGACTATCCTTGCAGGGCGCTAAACTTCTCACCTTGACGGACTTTGTGATGATGCAGAGGGAGATGGAGGAGACCACAAACAGCACAATGGGCACAATCAGCGAGACCACCAGCTCCCTGTACACCTTATCCAGATCGTACCGGGCCACCACAAACTCCACGCTCGCATCCTGCAAAGAGGAAAACCAAAAGCAAAGCCCTCAGCTACAGTATCAGTTTACACAGAGTGTGGGTGGTGGGAAGCAGAACGAACACCCCACCTTGTTGTAGTAGCACTGATAGCGTGACTGGGCGGTATTGTTGTCCCCATCGTTGCCATAGCGAGCCACAAAGTCCTTGCACTCGCCCCGCAGCGTATTGACGCAGCCCTCGAGGTTGATGTACAGTTTCTTCCAGCTGTAAATGGTTAGATTTGCCTGATTCGGCAGATACTGCTGGTGCTCGGGGTCCACGGCCCTGGTGCTGTTCTCATAGATGGCCCAGAACTGCGTAAAGTTCATGAAGGGAGCTGGCAGCGTATCGTGCTCTAGGAGGGTGCCATTCAGGCAATCCGTGGCACTGCGGACAGGCAAAGGCAAGAAGAGCTTTAGTTTCGACTTCAATTAAAGTTGTGTGTGGCACACACTCACGTGATGCGATTGTCCGACTCGCGGGTGACTGTGGCACAGTTGGTCAACAGGTTGCCGTCGTCCTCTTTCCAAATTTCAACGGGATCGATGCGTACTCCGTGCTCGGAGCCACGTGCCTGATTGAAGGCCACAGCATTCTCGCAGTCAGCTGCAATGACATTATCCTCCTAGAAGAAAGGGCAAGCCATGAGCATAGGATATAACTCGTATGTAGATGGCACTCTCACATGCATGATGAGCGTGTTGACGTTGGCCGTGGTTATCTTGGAGCAGTAGCGATCACAGTCGAAGGGCTTCTTGATCTTGGTGCAGTGTACGCCATGGCATTCGAAGAAACCATTCAGTTTGGTGTTGTCCTTGGCAGAGTTTATCGTTGGCCCATCGGCCTTGTGATGGCACAAAAAGAACTCGGACATGTTCTTGCAGTGACCTGGGGATTAGCTGCTTGTTAGTTGTGTGTGTGTGTGTTTGGATTTTATTTTTCGGGGTCTACTTGCCATTGGAGCAGTTGAACACGCCGCGTATGTTGTTGCAGGCGGTGCCATTGTTGCAGTTGAATTTGTTCAGGCGACTCATGTCAATCTGGAGACGAAGACACAGACACGGAAACAGATAGACAGTTAATAGGGGCACCATTCAATGATCGTAAAACTCGTTCCAGGCGCCAGCAGCCCATTAAAGCCAAGAGGCAAATAGTTGAAGTGCCTTCGCACCGCAAGTGAGTCACACTCCCACACTCAGAGCGGGTCCAAGACGATGACGTCTTCGGTTGAGTGGAGTGTGGTGCCCTGCGGGTGGGGTTTCAGCACTTACCATGGCACACGAGGTATTGGTCACCCGCGTGCAGTTGTTCAGCTGAATGTCCGTGCCATTTCGACGCACCACAGAGTGTATCTGTGGACAGAAGCCACTGGTGCGGGTCAGACACCATTCGCCGCACGAGGCCCAGGGGCAGTTGTTGGGCATCTGACGGTCGACGGTCTGGCACATGACCGGATCCAGCTCGAAGCCGGACTTGAAGGCCCTGCAGATAATGGAGTCATCGGTTAAACATAGACCACCGTCAGGTTGGTGGGCAGAGCTTCTCTCTGTGTGGCTTACTTCATCGAGGGCGAATAGATGGCCACGCTGAGATAGACAATGGACACGCAGGAGAGCACCATTGTCAGCTGGCAGAGGCAAATGGCACGACAGATGCGCTTGTCCTGCTCGGGTATGAGGCGCGGTTTGTTCTTGCGTCGCGCCATTCTGCGGAACCGGACACGGATACGGGATACTTCTGCTTTCTGGGAGTGGGTCTGGAATCGGTTCTAATACCAATTTTCCTGCTAATTTACGACTTGTTGATTTTGGTGGCCCACTTTCCGCGGGGGAAACCCTGCACTTTCGCCCCTGCGTTGTTTTCAAGGTGATTCGCGTTTGGTTTGCTGGACTGGAGACTGCCCTGGATGGGGGGCTGGCGGGATGGGTTTGTTGGTTGCTTGGTGGTTGGTTGTGGTGTGTGGAAGTTTGTTTTGTGGGTGTGTGGAGGGGGATTCTATTCTTGTGGTAACCTTTTAAGTTTACTTCAAAGTGGACGAAGGTTGGGATGGGCTGGGATGTGTATGTGGATGGATGGATGTAGTGTTGTTTGGGTGCTAAAGATAAAGATTGTGGGGTTTCGTTTTGTCCTCTGGCTTCACTTTGACCACGACCTGAGGATGATTTGTTTATGAGGGGGCCACAGACGGAGCGAAGGTCCTGCCACGTCCGCTCCTGGTGCGTGCTCGTGCGAAACTGAAGTCCTGGCTCTGGATCCCCGACTGAGTCTCCCGGAGCAGGGCATGCCAGGGCTGCAGCAGGACACTGCGCACTTTTACTTTTATCGAAAGGAAAGCGAAAGTGAAAGCCACAAACAGGCTGAGGCAGGGGACGAGACTGGGACTGGGACTGGGGCAGGGATGGAGACAGCTCAACAAATGGTTCCAGGTCCTGCCACAACGCCTGCGCCGGGGAGAGGGAGAGCAGCTTGAGTCTTGAGCTCTTTCTCTGTCTCTGGCCTCATTTATCCATTGCTTCTCTCTCTCTCACTCCTTTCTCTCTGTCTTTCCACCACAAATTCGAAAAGAAAACATTTCTCATTTAGCATTTCTCCACTTTTTGGTATTTTGTGTTTTTTTAGCGTTTTGCTTCTCTTTTTTTTTGTGTTTAATTATTTATTAAATAGGCCGTTAGCTGGTTTAATTTGTTTATTGATAAAGACACGTTAAGTAAAAAATGTTTAATCATTTTGCATTCAAATTTTTTTTTTTGTTTGTTCTTCGGTTTTGTATTTTTTGTTTTTTTGTTTTTTGGTTTTTGTTTTGTATGATTTAAAAAATTCTCATAAGCAACGTGCGTTTTATCGGTTCTGCTAAGCTATATGTATATATATATATATATATCATCTATGTACATATATATATATATGTATGTATGTATTGCTATAATTCTTTAGATGTTTCGTTTTTTACATAAGAGTTTTTAAAACTATTTCCAAAATGTTTGAGAGTTGTGTGTGTTTTCCATGTGTGTGTGTATTGTTAGGTGAGAAATTTGGTTCTTCTGCTTGAACTCTTGGATTGTATCTTGTATCTTGCATCTTGTACGAGTATCATCTTGTGGTATTTATCTATCATTTGTTTGCCAACATCTCTATGAATCTTTTAACTTATCGGACTCGGACTCGTTTCCCTCTATACAAATGTTTGATTGGTTTCTTCGTTTTTGTTTTTGTTTTCATTTTCATTTTTTAGTTTATGTTTTTGTTTACGAATTTACTTAATATTTTTATGACTACTATCACAATTTGTTGAAAACAAGCGATTCTTTAATTGGTATTTCGTATTATCATTGTGGAAATCGAAGTCGAGCAATCATAAAGCGGAGCATCGTCCACTCCGTCCAAAGCCAAATTCTAAAGTTTTACAGCATTTTGAAATAAAGATCTATATAGTACGAGTGTGTAACATTATTATTGTACGATGGCTAAGATGGGTTCTCAATTATAGAGCGCAAAGTTACGAATAAAACTATAATATATTGTATATGCATGTGGAAAAGTTTGTTCTCCTTCCTTCGACGATGCTCCCACTGGCAATTTATAATTATTATTATTTTTTTGTATATATCGTCCGATGTGTGAGTTGGCAGATGGCAAATGGTAATTCTCTATCGATCTTTTCGTATATGTATTGTATGTTTTTGTTTTGTTTTTTATATCTATATAGTAAAAGCTGTGTGTGTGTGTGTGTGTGTGGTGTATACAGACTACAAAGTTGAGTTTGCTATTTGTTTAGGGGTTTTAGCTTTAGCTAATTTGTATTTTTGCTAGTATTCCATATCATCATCTTCGTCACTGTGACACAGAAGTTTGCTAGAATTGGAGTATATCGGTTTGGAACAAAGTTCTTAATCAATTCTAGAGTCAGAGTTAAGTTAAAGTATAAGCGATAAATATATACGATTATATGTAGTCAGAGTATATGTTCTATACATACGGGGATCATGCCATACAATACAAATAGGTTCTATAATCGAAAGGGATAATCAGAAGCGGTCTAAAGGAAAAGCATGCAAAACACAGGCCTGCCTCATGCCCTCTCTTCTTATGCGTAATATCAGTTTAATTAAATAGGAGAATTAGTCGATATGTATACGAGTACGAGTATATATGTATGTTATATTAGAAGTAATTAGTAAATAGAAAAAAAGGGAAATGCTGGGGGCGTGTGAGTTAACCTGAAAGAAACCTCTTGTAAATTCAGTTTTTATGTTTTTGGTAAAGTTAAAGCTACTGACTACAAAAAATTGTTTGAGTACGTCGTGTATACGAGTGTGTTTTGGAGTGAATATATATTTTGATGTGGCATATAGAAATACGAAATTCCTTTCAATTTGTTTTGGGCTCTTGTGCTGAGAGTGTGTGTGGAGGGTGTGTCCTTGAGAGGTGCTAAGGACTAAGTCTACAATTTGGAACATTATGGAAATGCAGTAATTGCTAAGGACACTTCAGAGTAACGTTAATTCTGCTTGGGTTTTTTGTTGCTGTTGTTTTTGTTTTTGTTTTTGTTGTGGGTTTCTACGACAAGCGACAACTGTGGTGCCAGAGATATACTCGTAACTCTTTGATTTCAGCATATTTCTTCGCACTTAACCTATCACAAATACATTTTGGGGGGTCAGATCAACGATCAGATCTCATATTTCAAAACACATTCAAGGACAACGACTTTTCCGTATTACATTTCATGCAGTTAACGATCCTGTAAGTAAGGTATAGAAGTGATAAAGAGAAAGAAGAACGAAAGAGCCCATGAATTACAGGCTGGGGATTGTCGGGGGGAAGGTTTGAGGTGTGATAAGAAACAGAAAATATACAAAAAGTTACAATCATTACAATAATTTTGTTTGTTGGTTTAACTTATGGTTTAGGCCAATTGCTTAACAAAAACATATAATTTACATTCATAAAAGTAGGAGAGAGAGATTACAGCATACAGCACGATCTTTGACAACAGTATGTAGGTAGTATCTTCATACAAGGCACAATGAAGGAGTGTGTGTGTGTGTGGTTTCAACTACAGTACGGGTACGGGTACCGGTACGGGTACGTAACGAGACGAGACGAGAAGTCGAATCGCAAACATACAATATGTACGAGCAAGTACGAGTATGTGAATGAAAACAAGATGCAGGACAGGAGATGCAGATGCAGATGCATGCAGCGTCTGGTGGTTGGTTGCTTGTGGGAATTGAACTCACTCTTCCTTGGTTGGGAACTTCTCGGCGTAGACCCGCGATGACTTATTGCAGGCCTTCTCGCAGCAGGGGCAGTACCAGTAGCTCAGCACCCCGATGGAGATGGCAAAGAGCACATTCGGTATGATCAGCGATAGGATCAGATGGTACAAATTGTTCTCCCACGAGTAGCGGCCAATAACGACCTCTGGATAGGCACGGCTGTAGTAGCAGGGGAATGGCTCCCCAATATGAGAGAAGCTGCATCCAAATCGAAAGGAAATAAACCATTTAATTGGGGGATTCACATCATTTACTTATTACAAACTGAATGCTCACCCATACTGCCTGGCAAATACGCTGCAGTTGGTCGTGGGCGGATATCCGCAGCCCTCGGAGTTGATCAGAAACTTTGTATAGCTAACATCCCAGTTGACGGCGTCCAGGTCCCGGGGATTACGCTCCCAGTCGCTGTACGGGATGCGCGTATAGTTGACAAACAACTGATGGCACCTGGTTCATCATATGGGGGGTTATGGATCAGAATTGAGTGGATTATGCTCATGCTTATTTCACTTACTTGGTGAGTGATGAGGTGCAGCCCTCGCGACAGGAGCTCCAGCTGCAGTTCTTGATGCCCTCCGCATAGATGTGATCGATCACTATGCAGGTCACGGGCACTGGATCATAGTCGGCAATGATCGTTGAGATGGCGGGATCCACTACGAAGGGTATCAGGAAGAGGAATGTGAACACCGACAAAATGGCAGTCGTACCTGAAAGGGATAGTCAGAGAGAGAGAGAGAACCATCATATATCCATCAGATAGAGAATATATATTGTGTGTTTATCTTACCAAGGCACACGGAGGTATAGAACTTTGCCTTCTCGAGTAGTGTTTCGATTTCGATCTCCTCGCGCTTCGCCTTGATGGCGTCCACGCAGCCGCTGCCCGGCCTAACCGGTGACTGGCAGGAGGAGCGTATCGATCCCGCCACCGAGCCCGATCTGCTGCTGTTGCTATTCAGGCTGATCTTGCTGGCGGAGAGTGTCTGTGCCGAGAGCGTGGGACTCGTCGGCATTGACGTTGTCGTTGTCAGAGTGGAGCTCTTCTTCATTCTGATTCTCTGTGTTTGTTGTGTGTTGGGTGTCGGGTGTCGGGTGTGTGGTTTCGTGTGTTTTCTTAGATTTTAGGATCAGTAAAAGCTTTTAAAATGAACACCGCTAACAATTCTACACTCTCTTAATCGCTTTCCCCCTCTGTCCTGCCCTTCTTCTGCTTTCCTTCTACTGTACTGTGAATGTGGGTTAGCTTACGTCTCTATATCTCTATCGATGTCTCTCTCTCTTTTTCTCTGGGCTTTTCCTAATTGCCTTATTTTTGTAGAGCCGAAAAGGAAAAAGGTATTTTCGTTTTTGATTTTTAAATCTAATTGGAACCTCCTTTTGTATGGGGGGGCGGGGGAGAGGGCGGCGGTTCCGTTCCTTCTTCTTGTATATTGATTAAGTTATCTAAATTTATTTTTTTTGTTATTATTCTGTATTCGGTTTCTGTTTTAAGGTTAACTTTTGCTTCGTCTTCGACTTTGAATAGTTTTTGTCGTTCCGTTTTTATTTATAGATTATAGATTTTTTTTTATTTTTTGATCACGCATCCCTCCTAATCTTCTTCTTAAGCTGTTGTTGTTTTGTTGTTTGGACCAATTCTGAAATGACCTCCTTCTCCTGAACCTTTCTACGGATTCGGATTCGGATTTGGATTCTGTTCCTCCTCCTCCTTCTTCCTCTGCTGCTTCTGCTTCTGCTCCTGGTGTCTGTGTGCGGGTGTGTGTTCTTGTGTCCCTGTGCATGTGTGTGTGTGTGTTTGTTTGTGGTGTGCGTTTATTCCCTAGAAAAAACTTAGCTGCATAATTAACAATAAATATTGAATCAATTCTCGCTCTGACGCCCTGTTTTCTCCCTGTCCGTTTCTACCTACATCACATATCCTAAAGCCTCTGGCTCTAATCCAATGCAAATACAAATACAAATACAAATAACTCAACTAATAACGAACTAATCCAAAAAATTATACTAATATTGTCTTCTGATCGAGTTGATCGTCGTATTTTGAGTTAATTTTACGCGCCTTCTCCTTGCCTCGTGGTGTTTCAGTTTCAAGTTTCTGTTTCAGGTTTTCTAGGTTTTCTGCTGTTAGCTCAGTAGTGTCCTTGCAAGCCTCTGGGTTGGTGTGGCTGTGGCTGTGGGTGTCGGTGTGGCTGTGTTGTTGTGGTCGTTTGTTAAAAGTTCAATGGAAGGATTGCAAAGAATGTCAAGTTGCTCGATTGTGCTCTTCTTCTGGTTGTTGTGGCCAACTTCCAACTTATTGCAAAGCGAAGACTCCAGTCTGATGTATCGGACTGTCTTCCTGGAGCAGAGGAATGCCTGCAGAATAAAAAGGAGAATTAAAATATTAATGGGGGGATGCTGCGTAAATGATTTCAAAGGGAGTCGGTGACTTTTTGGGTTCTAAAAAAGGACCAAGGGAAAATGCTATAACTATAGCTAGATCCTATGCTCATAAGGGAGTTCTGTTCTCTGCTCTAAAATCGATTGTTCTATCTGAGGAGGATCTGAGGGGGTTTGGGCAACTGCGAAATACGTATATCAATCCAGAGACCTGGTAGCCTGAAACCGAATCTGAACAGATTGCTCTTTCACATGTGGGCAATGGCAAAGGCGGCTGTCGACAGAGAAAATACTCAGTGGTTAACTGGAATACCAATTTGAGTCCTTTGGATAGTACTATTATTGCTTACGTGACGGATCTCATAGGGCCATAACCTCATCGCCACCGCCCCCACCCATGTCGCCGTTGGTGGGTGCACCGACGTTGTTCTTATTGAGGATGGTCTCCGTGTCGACGCAACCCTTGAAACGCATCTTGGCGTCGTCGCCCACGTAGACGGTCTTCTGGCACATCAGCAGGATGGAGCAGGAGACAACGAAAAGCACCGATGGCACCACCGAGGCGAACACAAACTGGCGATAGGTGACCTCCAGGTCGAAGCGGGCCACCACTATTTCCTTCTTGCCGGGCGAGTAGAAACAGGGGAAGCGTGCGCGCGCATTATGATCGCTGCCATCACGGCCAAAGTCCTTGAGGAACTCCTTGCACTCGTCCATGAGGGTGTTGACGCACCCCTCGAGATTGATCATCAGCTTGGACTCATTGGAGATGGTCAGATCGACATCGGGCGGTGCTATTTCCGGCACGGGCGTGGCCACCGAAACGTGCAGATGGCTCAGATATGTGAAATTGGTCAGATCACTGAGCATATTGTGCTCCAGCGTCGACCCATTGATGCAGTCCACCGCATCCACGCGATCCGAGGTGGCCTTGATGTAGTAGCACGAGGTCATGGCCACATTCTCGCTCGACTCGTTCCACACCTCCTCCAGGGTCTCCGCATTGATGGCATTCTGGCAACTCGACAGATAGACCTTGTCCCCGCTGAGCACCACAACGTTCTTGTTCCTGGTCGGGATGTCCACGCACCGGCGGTCGCAATTGTAGGGTGTGCGGATCTTGCGGCATGTCCCACGGCTGCACGAGTACAGCCCGCTGATGTCCATGCAGTTGATCTTGCCGCGACGACCGGAACACTTGACCGGTGCATCGCTGTTGTGGAAGATGCACTCGAAGGCGTCCGTGATGTTCAGGCACTGGCCGGCGGTGCAGTTGAATGTCCCTGTGAGATTCTTGCACTCGTCATTGATGCAGCGCGCCTTGTCCGCCCGATCCTGGTCGATGCCGTAGCACGTCTTGTTCGCCGAATTCGTGCAGTTCTGGAAGATGAGATTGGAGCCATTGCTGCGCAGATTCACGTAGATCTGGATGCAGGCACCCGACGTCTTGCTCAGGCACCACTCCCCGCAGCTGCCCCACTCGCAGTTGTCCTTGTTCAACGCCCGCGTGGTGGTGCACATCACGGGAGTGGGGTCGATGCCGCTCTTGAAGGCACGCGTGGACGGCATGTAGATGGCCACCGTGAGGTAGACCAGAGCCACGGAACTGAGCACCAGTGTCATCTGGCAGATGCAGATGGTGCCACAGATCCTGGTGTCCTGTGGTGGCACAACCAGATCCTCTGTGGCCGTCTTTTTCTTTCCCATTTCGTGTGTTGGCTTTGCTTTGGATTAAACTGGTGGCAGGTGTGCTGTTCTCCTCTCTAGTTGCTGTGGCTAATCCCTGGGCTTTAATCTAATTAAAAGCACACATCATCTTGGATTGGGAGGCAGTGAGGCAGACAGGGCAGTCTATCGATTGAGCAAGCAGTTTTTGTGTGGGAGGGTGAACCTGAACCTGAGCCTGTGCCTGTGCCTCTGTGTTATATAACGCTGGCCCACTCGTTTGCGTATGCTTTTTTTTTGTGTGGAGGGGAACGCGGGATTCGAATCTGAAACTTTTCACGGCCTGCGCGCACGTTTTTGGTGGAGTTCCAGATGGAATGACTCTTTTCCTAGGCAAGCGACCCTATCGATTTTTATTTGATTTCACTTTAAACTTTTTTGGCCCCATACGGAACCCAATTGCATCACGTGCTGCTTGCTGCCTGGCCAGAAGTCTCTCCTTTGCCTTTGCCGCTCCCTCTGCAAAACTCTCCGTTTCTCTTTGGTGCTGGCTGGTGCGGGGGGGCTATCCGTTTACTGATTTTTGATTTATTTATTGGCTTTTTTTTGCTATTAGTTTTTGGTAATTATTTTTTGCTTGATTGGCGACCAGCAGCTAGCAGCTGCCGTGCTTGGGGCTCGTGACAATTTTCAGACTGGGGCCCAAGGCTCTGGCTTTGCTCTACACAGAGTTCGCGTTGCGAGTGATTTTGGATTTGGCGAATGGAGAATGCATTCGGCTCTGCTCCGCTCCGCTCTCTGGCGCCTCACTGACCGCCGACAACATGCCGCCACCGTCGCGTGCTCCACGAGATGCCTCTTCGTGCGGGTGTCGTGTGGCACATGTTAGCTTTGGAGCCTGCTCTCAAATCTCAGCGCAGAGCAGAGTCATGCGCGCGCATTTTTATTGCAAAATCAATAGAGTTCCGCATTCACGTTTTTGGTTCTGTCGAACGCAAAAGGCAAGGGAATCTCTGGGCATCCCCCGTCCTAGTACCCACCCCAATCCCCTCACGCTCGCTGGATTTTCATTGATTAAGTCGTCCTCCGCATGGCGGCCGTGGGTGCAAGTGCACTCTCCGTTCAATGTTGTGATGTGCTCCAGATTTTGAGGCAACTGCAGGACGCTGACAGGGTCGGCTGCTGCTGCTGCTCTCTGCTCTCCCCCATCCAGAAGGGTGGCTCGGGTTGCCATGACGCCATCGTACGTACATTAGCTATCAACATACAAGTTCTATATTTAACTGCTGTGCGTAAAGAGTACAAAAATAGGTTAGCGAAATTCGGTAATAGTATTTCTATTTAAGTTCCGTAGTTTGAGGTGGAGTGACAGCATCATCTTTCTCTGGAATCGACGGCCCAACGTCATCAAGAGATAAACACTGTTTTAGCCCGTTGTCATCCCTCCTTGAGGGGATGGTTCCAGGCCTTGGCCATGAGTCGCACAGTGTCCTGGGTTAGCTTCGGTCCAATCAGCGGATTCAGCTGCGCCAGATAGCAGCAGAGCCAGAAGAGCCAGCAGCAGACCGCCGCCAGCAGGAAGATGCAGCGCACCAGATCTTGTTGATGCTCCTTGGACACCAGACTAGGTCCGCCCAGTCCCACGGCAGCCCAGATGGCGGTGAAGAAGAGGATCGTGAGGAAGACTTCCATGTTGCTGACGCTTCAATTTGTTCAACTTTCCTTTTTTTTTTATGACTAACAGCGGGCGTAAAAATTACTTTGTTTTTCTTTAGCAGACCCGAAAAATTTCCTAACGCCTTTTGAAAATGCCAAGAGTGAGGAACTTCACAGCACTGACGCACACGCACTGCTGATCATTTACAACACTAGCAAACAGATGGTTGGTCTTTGAAATGGCGCCTAATTCTAAGTCTTTTTCATGGAAATTATAATGTTTAAGCTAATTCTTACACTGCACTTTGGATGGGAAGGGATATTTATAATACTGGCATTAGTTTGATGTAAATTCTTTCAACGAAAACAGCCAGGGTAAGCCTCTTTCTGAAGTGCATCTCCAATGGAGATTGAATCTACTGCCAAGCTAAAAATTTTTTGTTTTTTCAATATCCCACATGGACACGCTCCACACTAAACTTTTGTGTTTATCACAACCACAAATTGAATAATCAATGGCAGGGCCAGGAGTTATTGAGGAATTTTGCCATTGCCTCCTCCATATACACATGTACGAGTATATATGTACTGGTATATGAGGAATTCGCTCATAAGTAGGCAGTGTGCTTGTGGTGGGAAGGAAGGTCAATCAATGAGCAATGAAGGATTTATTTCATCATGATTTGAGTTCGATTTCAATTGGACTTTCATTTCTTGTAGTACTCACATGTAAATTGTGGATGTTTCACCATCGAATGTTGAGGTTTATTTACGTTCACAGCACACGCACACGCGGAGGGGGAGAGGAGGCGACCGACAAGAGACGAGAGTGGAGACATGCCATGGGGCGGGACACACACACCAATACACAAGCAGCAGTCCGAATATCCGTGTTGCACTGGCCAGCAAAGTCGTTTCATAATAAAACGCAGTCCCAGCCTCTTAGCACACGCCCACACATTATGCACTTGTCGAGTAGGGATTATTGGATGAGTTCGCTGGCTGATCCGCAGCTATTCATAAGGCAGTAATGATTTGATTTTTGGTTTTTCCTTCCATTTCCACTGGCCAGCGAGCCGAGAAAATTCCAAACAGCCGAACTATGTGACGTGCACGGCTCACGGCTCACGTTTCCCTGCTGTTTACGGCCAGCTCTTCTGACATTTCTCTGCCTTTTCTGGCTCTTGCTTTGGCTTTGGCTCTGGCTCTGGCTCCGCTCCGACTCTATCGCTGGTGGTCGCTTCTCTCTGCCCCAAGAGTGAGTGTATACTGGTGGGGCGCAGGCGCTGCCAGGCTTTACGTCATCCAAGTGGCCCGTTGCCCGTTGCTCCAACAGAGCAGAGAGCTTTCGGGGGAGCAGCTTTCCCCAAAAGCTGCGCACACTAATAATGGGGCATGGAGCGTTGCTTCAGCTGCAGCGTTGCCAGTGGCAGGCAGTCCTTTCGGTGAAGAGTTTACCGTTTCGTTCTCTCGTTGCCGTCATCGTCGCAGCCGTTGGGGCTGTCTTTTGGTTGTCGTCGCTGCTCCTCTATTGTCATTTGTCGCCACAACCATTGCCATCGCCATCGCCATAGCCATAGCCTCTTCTTGTTCGTTGTTTCGCTAAGGCTCCTCCTGCGAAAATGACAAGAAAGAAATTTGGAACGCGAACGTGAATGGTTTTTTGTGTGTGTTTTGCAACTTTTGACCCCGTGCGCGCAATCAGGTCATAAAAATTGTTAACTCTAATAGAATGAAACGTGGAGCCCATGGCCATGCCCATGCCCACTCTCTGTTGACTCCGGGTAAACACTGGGAAAACTGTGACTGTGACTGTGCAGTGCGGTGCGGTGGCGAAGGGTTTCCGTGTGATTGAAAATGCGTAATCGTTGCTGTCGTTCCGTTACCGTTCACCGCGTAACCTGAACCTTGAGTAAACCACACACACAGGCTCAAAATCTGTAACACACACACACACAGACACCCACCCACCCAGAAGGAGCACGCAACTCTACGTCACTCAATCAGAAGTGGTGGTGGTGTCGGAAAGAGACACATGCCAGTGTGGTTTTCCCACAATAGAAATACAAGAAATTTGTGTGGTTCAACTACATTTAATTGATCTGCCTCCAAGGGAAATCTTTTTGCTGGGGAGGAGGCAGCTGAAAAATCGTTTCGTGCTAAAGCACAAGAAGTTGCCTCCTCACGCTCTCAATCCTCCAGGCATTGCCAGAGGGGGGTAGGGTAGGATAGGGTATGGGCTGGCAGTCGTCGTCGCCGCCGCCTATATATGCCGCATAATTTCGATTGGAACTGGCAGGCTCTCCTTTCTCTTACTCACTCAATCTCTCTCTTTCTCTCTGTGTCTCCGTTTTTTCTGTGCCTTTGTGGTAGGGCTTGCATGTGCACGGCCTCTGTGTGTGTGTGAGAAGCGTGCCAAATGAATTGAAAATTACATGTGGCTCCACAGAGTCTCCTCCCCGCCCCTATTTCTCAGCAGCAACACTGCATTTGGGGCCTGGCTGAAGGAGTTTTATTATTTAAACATGCCGCTCGTGCTCGTGCTGGTGCTGTGCCTCTGAGCTCATTGTTGCCCCTGCCTGCCTGCGCCGCGTGTTTCCGTTTCGTAATACTCCTCACAATAAGTGCCAAGAGCCAGAGCCCCACTTTCAGCTGGCCAAACAGAAACGAAACCAGCAACAGCCCCGCGACTGGTCGTCGGTCGAGGTTATATAAAAATAAACGCAAGCGGACATTTACACACGTCGTCACCTTTTCCCCTGGGGTTTAAAAATACCAATTTACTAGCGCATTAACGGTAAACGCGGTATCAGTATTTTAAACCGAGTCCTCTGTCTCGTTCTCCCACACAGTTTTTAACTGCACGTGGCACGGATAGTGTGTGAAGAGAGAGAGAGAGAGAGAGACACCGAAAACAAAACAAAGCAAATACAAGTGAAAAAGGAGAAAAAGGAGAAAGAAAGCAACCAAAAACTGTCCGTCCAGCACTCTCTTTTTAAATGTACATAGAAAAAATAATACAAGTGAACCAAATGCCAGGCTAAGAAGCAGCGGTGGAACCAACAACAGCAGCACCAAAAGCAGAGCAGAGTGAGACCTCCACGAAATTGGCCATTGGCAGGCCACGGACGGAACACAAGACACGCACACACACACATACACAGAACACACAAGCTTAGCCTTTTGCCGCAGTCATAAAATAATCAAGCCGAGGCAGCAGCAGCAGCAGCAGAGCACAGCTAAATCAAGCCAGAGGAAAAGGACGTGAACGTGGACAAAGAGGAGGAAGAGGAGGCACTGCAGCAGCATCATCGTGTGCTGATGTTGACGAAACATCTCCGGTGGGACGCATAAAGCAATTAGTAAAGGTTGAATCCCGCACGCACACCAGCACATAGAACACGTGTGCATACGTACGCACTGCCACAGCGATTGAAAGAGTGAGAGAGAGTGAGTGCGGAGGGGGAATTAACGTAAGAATAGAACGGATCCAGGATGCGTGGGGGAGCCAATGGAGCCACGCGCCCCCCACAGGAGTATTTAGCCTAATCGAGTGATGCGCAGCACAGAAATGCAGGGTGCCGCCGCCTTCAGCCTGCCTTATTGCAGATGCCAGAGATGTTCAAGATAACGGGGAAACAGAAGCAGAAGCAGCAGCAGAGCAAGAAAAAGAAGAGAAGGACAGCAACAACAACAAAAATAACAAGAAGATAAGGAAGGACACGACACACAAACAGCAGAAAGCGAGAAACGAAAATCGAACTCTCCCTGTGATATAACTTGCACCGTAACCGTAATTCTAGCTCGTAGTTTCATCGTTACTTATCGATTAATTAATTAATTAATCTAAGCGCAACTCTAACCTAAGTACAAGATTAACTTCACTCCATAGCCGCCGAAAGCACGCCCCCAGGATAATCTAATCTAATCAGAAAATACTTAAACTACAAAACCGCTGCTGCCCCTCTGCCCAAAACCAAAAACCCAAGCCCTACCATTTGAAATACTTTGCTGCCGCTCTGCTCCGCCGCCGACACCGCCGCCAGACCTGCGCCAATTGAGAAACTAAAACCAGGCTTTACCCAAAGCTAAATCTGAGAAAGACTCCATCGAGAGAGAGTGATTGGAAAAGAGACCAAAATCAAACTTCAACTCCAACAGAATGGGAGATGAGGCCGACAAACGTACGGGCAAGGAGAAATTGCTCTTCTACACGACTGCCTTCTTCATACTGCTGGGCACGTTCAGCCTGTTCGCCTTCCTGTTTCTGGTGCCGTTCGTCATCGAGCCGGCCTTCACCACGATCTTCATGCAGTTCGAGGAGGTGCCCGCCTTGTGCGAGACCTACGACACGGAGCTCTTCTATGGCGCCAAGAACTGCTCGTGGTCGTCGTGCCGCGAGGGCTGCACCAAGGACATCTACATGTGCACCCAGATTAGGGTCAACTATCGCCTCAACCTGTACAACTTTACGGATGAGTTTAACTTCACGGAGTACCACATTGTCCTGAAAGAGTCGGAGCGCGTGATACCGCCCAAGAAGCGCACGGATCGCTATGAGCGAGCGTTGCGGGACTACGAGTACGATAATCTGGGTGGTGGCATCGATGGCACCGCCCTGGACATCGACATGGGGGCCACCGGGAGGCTGGATCAGCTGAGCTTCGGAGATGCAGACGGCTCCAATGGTTTTCTGATTGAGGACTCGGACGACGCGCGGGGTCTAAGTGCCACGGGCACCTTGATCAACGAGGAGCGCCATCCCTTCGATGAGATCTCCGAACTGAATGAGGGTCTGATGGGCAACAGGTCCATGTACTACTATGTGGGCGCCCGCCTCTTTCCCAACGTCAAGGGATGTGGCTATCCGCCCATGCTGAACTGCACCATCTGGCTGAAACGATACACGAAGATCGGGATGAAGTTCCCCTGCTACTACTCGCGGGTGGACCCCAGTCTGGTGATCAGTGACCTGGACTACTGGCAGAACACCCTCAATCTGGTGTACTCCATGGCCATTCCCATTCCCTCGTTCATCATTTCGGTCATCTACTTGACGTACGCCTACTTCAAGATCTACAACGAGGACGAGGAGACGGCACCGCTCGATAAGAATGCCGAGGACATGGACATTGATGACATCGATGCCGTCGACGACAGTGACGGTGCCGTTCTGGCCGACAATGTGGCCGGCAGTCAAATCATCAACATGGACTCCACAACCAATGACAGTTGTTTGGAGGGTGTCCTGCCCAATGGTGGTCCCGGCATGACCACCTCCATATCGCAGGGTGGCTCGCTCACCACCCCAGGTCCATACATCGCACAATCTCCGGCGGGCTCCCAAATGACGCCCAATTCGGAGATGAACTCGTTCGGTCATCAGCTGAAAGTTCAGATGGCTGACGAGCTGTCCAGGGATTCCCTGGAGAATGGTGTTCTCTCAACGTCCAACTCAGTTCAAGGGTAAGATTATTTGATTTCCAGCAGGGGAACTTATATCAATAAAAAGGGAATGGGGAATCTTTTAAGATGGTTATGAGAAAAGTTTACACACAATATTTATATATTTAATAATATCCTTTATTATCCTTATTGTATTGGTTATATATAGTAGATCTTCACTCATGTTCAACCCACACGTTTGCCCTCTTGTGTATTGCAGAAACTTGAGCAAGACGATGACGACGAGTATCTCAACTCCACCTGGGCCGACAGCGGCAGTCTGAAACGTCAGGCGCATGGTCTGGAAAATGTTAGATTCCGATTCGGAAAATGAACCGCTGCTGGAATCCTAAAAACAGTATTGCGGGCATCGTGGAGCGAACCCCTAAGGGAGGAGGTTCCACGAGCAAACAAAAGACGGAGCAGAGTATTTCCCCAAAAAAGTATTTCTACCCAAAACCAAAACCGAAAAAAGAAAAAAACAATCGACAACAACGCATGTGTATGCGACCGAACCTGAATACCTTCAGAGCTGTTAGAGACATTTAAAAGAACTATGATAGATTATATTTACCGTATAACTACACACACCACACACACTAGGAACACTCATCTAAAGGAACTTTGGATAGGCTTAACGACACACCCACACCCACACCACACACACACATCCCCATTCAAAATTGCAATACATGCATTATGTAGTGTCTGCACACGATATGATATCCGAAATATTACGATATCCGAGGCATAGATAGACAGAGATGTATACTATACGGATGAGGATGAGGAGGCCGCTTCACACAAGGACCCACTGGACAGGACAGTGTGTGTTACTTTGATTGGTACAAAATACAATAACAAAAATAAAAAAAAACAGAAAAACAGAACTTGGACAGGAGGAGAACAAGTACTATACTAGAGGAAAATTATAATACTTATACAACACATACATATACATATATACAAATATTTACTTGACTTATTTTTCTATTCGCAACAATCGTCGTGTCGTGTCGTAGTCGTCGTCTCGAGGAAGAACTCTAATACCCCCAACAATGACCCCGAATATAGCCCCATACCCATACCCATACCCCTATAAACACACATGCCATATGCTCCAAAAAGAGCAAAACAAAACGCGCAACTTATTTACAAATCGATAAATCGAGGCGCTGAGGTTTTTTAAATATTGTAATGCCAATTCAAAACCAAAACACACACACACACACTACACTAACACGCAAAAAGAGAAAGCAAAAACTAAATTAATGATGATGCATCATGTATATCATTGGAATCTTGATGATAAACGAAACGAAATGATAAGCAAAAACAAAAAGCAAGTGGAGATGGATGCCTATATTTGAAGTAAATTAAATTACATTAAATTATAAATCGAATAATAATTGTTATCCTTCAAATTAAATGCGGATAAAAACTCACAGCTTTAACTAACTGAAACGGAGGCATAAGATTTTTCTTCTACATATTTATTTTATTAAGATTATTATATAAATGATAATGAATATTTATAGGTCCTACAAATGGTTCAAGCTATTCAATTACAAAAAAAAAACTTACAAATAAAATATTGCATTAAAATCTTAATAATTTAGGTCTGAAATTAAATATAACGTAATGTTTCCTTTTTATATTAACAAAAAACCAAAACCAAATCAAACATTTCTAAACTCGAATGCGAATAGTCTCAACAAAAATTCGAAAATTCGTTGTCTAGGCATATAGACGCATCTGAATCTGCATCTGCATCATTAACTGCACTTTTGCGTATAAATCTATCAATGATAAGCGGCAACAAAAACTACACCAACCAACAACAAACATAGGTTCTTTTTAACGAGACAATGAGATATATTTGCATGAGAGATTGAGAACAAAACCAACACACATAGAGAGTAAAACGAATGCAAAAACAAGCGCAACTATTAGCTAATATCATGTAAACCAAACAACAAATAAAATGCTACTAGAATTGAAACCAAATAACATGAAAAATCTCGAAATAAATACGCATTTAGCAGCCTATAAACTGTTTTTCTTCTTAAATTTTTTACAACTCAACTTTGAATAAAGCGCGGTACACGTTTTGAATTCCTTTCACGTTTGTCAACACTGTAACTGTGAATGGTCAAACTGGAAGAAGAAGCCGAAATCAGCTGTTGCCGTTTTCACCTGTGCCGTTTTCACCTGTGCCGTGCGATGTGAAAATTCTTTAGAATATATCTTCAACAATTGCCCCAGAAGACGCTGCTACGTCTCGCTATCTATAATCATCTATATTCTCTGGCCGACGCAGCGGCCATTCTTCAATAGCGTTTCCTCTTCACGGTGCCGTCTTGGCAGTGCAGTGCGACGGCAGGGCAGGCAAACTTTTAACTTGTAAACAAATATCTCGCTAAAGGAAAATCAGTGCTCAAACTTATTAACAAATGCTTCCGCATAGCTGAGTGGCCAAATAATGGACAATAAGAAGGATATCTACAACTTGTGGGTGCAGTACACAACAAAGGTAAGCGGCAGAACCCCAGCGGAATGAAATGAAGTGATAAGCCTGCCACAAAACAGTGCTAGCGGCGTAGGGGGTGAGTGTGTGTGTGTGTGCGAGGGGGCGGTGGCAGCCGCAGTGACATGTTTGAGTCATTAGTCACCGCTACACTTGCTTATCATCAGCAGAGACTATATCCAATGAATGTAATGAATGGGCAGGGTAAGCCCCTGCAGCGAGATTATATAATCCAAGGCAGGCTCAGGCTCATGTCACATTACAAGACATCCTTCTCTCTCTCTCTCTCTCTCACTCGCTATCTTGTTCTCTCTCTCTCTCTATAAGAACGATGAGAGATACTTCCGGGAATTTGTGGCCCGCTTTGTGGCCATTTGGCGCAGCCAACTGCAACTGGACTTTCAGGCCGAGAATTGTCCGTTTTGGCATGAGGTTCTGCCGGATAGTGGACCGCATTTGGGTCGATTGCCAGACGAGCTGCTGCCGGCTATTGGCAAGTTCATTATTGTGGCCCGGGATGACAGCGACACGAGCGAGCGGCTGGAGGAGGAGTCCATTGAACAGGTTGCCACACTCATTGACTGCCTGGTGATTGTGTGCCGGCACTTTGACAACATTCTGGCCATTATCACGTACGAGTACAAGCCGAACATCATCGCAATACTCTCCAAAGTGTTCAAGCAGGTAACAAGCTGCGCCAATCATCATACCCAATCAATCTCTAAGCGTTTGTCTATCGATTCCAGCAAATGGAACAGCCGCATGCGGTGCCAGCCATAAGTCATCTGTTCCGCAGCTTCTCGGCCTTTCTGGAGGTCATGTACGATCCTTATCTGACGTGGCGAAGCTTTGTGCGTGGCCAGGCGGCCGACTACACACGCCTATCCTACAAACCCCATTCGGTGCATGTAGAAATTGTGCCCTTTATCTATGGTGAGTGCTATCGAAATCATTATTTATATCTTTATTGTCGTGTGTTTTGCAGACTGTTTCCTGGAAGAGGCGCTGGTCCGACACCCCGACATAGGCGAGAGCCTGCTAAACATATTGGGCGCTGTGATATGCGGCTCACAGGTATCGCCCCAGGGGTTTCCGTGTTCAATGATTAACGTCTCCTTACTCCTTAGACATAGAAAGCTTCTATGCTTCTCTCCTTCCCTATTTCTTTGCGCACAAAAATTTCTTTCACTTTTCCTAATATCATTTCGTTCCTTAGAGTTTTATCATTTCGTTTTCATGTTTTTCTTCATTCTTTTTGTGTACTCGTGCATTGCTGTTGCTGTTGGCCCGTCCGACAGCAGCAGCAATCCAAAATTGTAAGCGTTTAAAACAAATTTACAGAAATCTCTAAACTTGAACTTGAACTCGACTTCAACCTCGACCCTGACAAATAGAAATACTAACGCTCTAACAACACCTTCCTCACTTGCCCCCTGCTCGGGTGATGGGCTGCTTGTAAACTGTGATAACCTGGTGAGTGGGTTGTTCAACCATCTCTTGTGTCCTCTTGCCATGTCCTGTCATGTCATGTAGTCATGTGTGCATGTTCACTGTACTGTGCTCCCTGTCCTGTACTGTTGGATTAATAAATCCCTAATGTTGCATTGGTTTGCTAGCGGAATGGCATGAAAGCCATTTGTCCGGCCACAGTCTCCATCACCATGGGCATACTGCGGCAGTGGGAGAGCGGCAACAGTCTGCGTCGTGTGGCCCTCAATTGCTATGCTTTGATGGTAATTGTTTTGCAAAAATCTAGTCCGGAAGAAGTGAGTATATTTGCGGGTATCTATACTCCTGCACAGCTAATCTTTCATACATTTTCCAGCGCCAAATAGATCTAGTTACGTTAGTTCAACTCTATTGTGATGCTCTGCAAGAGCTGCTGGCCACCAAGCACTTTGACAGCGGCGATATTAACTTTGATATAGCCAGCGATGCCGATCAGGATGTGGCCATCGATATGGCCGCCCTCTCCGACACAGTGGCAGCCGTAAAACTCTTTCTGAACGGCGGTGAGGACATCAGTGAGGCGATTGGCGAGACAAATCTACTGGAACTGCTCAGCAGTCTGCCCAAGAAAATTATGGTGGGGGAATCATTGCACTTCTCTTTCTCCATCCATTATATTGGCAGTCTTTTATTTTAGCCCTGGAATATCTCCCACTCGATTTCGTTGTGCAGCACCATGGAGGCTCTGGCCACACTGACACGCCACTCCCTGCCATCCGCCAACCAGCTGCGTCAGGGCGAGCGAATCGCGAAGCTCTTTGGCAGCTTGCGGGAGTTCGGTTCAGGCCCCTCTGTGGCCCTGCTGGAGACCTGCTTCATGCTGGGCTACAACGAGAGCGAGCAGCTGCTGTTGCTGCCCGAAGTGATGCTGCAGCTGCTCCACTGGCTGCCCATGCTCCAGGAGCGAGAGCAGTTGCATGTCACCAATTTGGTGCTCAAAGGCTGCACCGATAACTACGGAACGTGAGTGGATCTAAGGATCAATGGCAGATGCAACATTCTATAATTCTACCTATGTCTTGGCAGCAAATCTGTGGCCTGTGACAGTCACGTCATCAAGGCTGTGTGTGGCTGTCTGCTGCAAGCGGAATCCCTGGCCGAGAACTGCGTTCAAAATCTAATCAAGCTGATTGAGGAGCTGAGCAAGATCAGCATTGTGCCCGGGGAGCTAAAGTGCATCTTTACACTGCTGCGTGAGGGGACAAAGTTCCCACAAAGCAGACAGCTGCAGCAGGTAAGTGGGAACCCGGACGAACGTCTATCTACACCCATCTGAATGTACCTTCCCTTTGTGGCAGACACTCGTTGTGATTGCGCTGCAGAGTCTGCGGAACAGCAATTCCTGCGCCCAGTACTTTGCCATTGAGCAGCCGTCGGATGGGATTGTGGTGCCGGACATTAGGAACTGGACCCTCTCTGGGGCCTATGGCTTCATCTTTCACATTCTGGTGCGCTTCAGTCCAACCAAAGAACAGCCGGCGGGAGGGAGCTATCGTCGAATGCTTCTCACCCTGCAGACGGGCAGCGGCAGTGGCTTTGAGGTGTTTGTCCAGCCCAATGGGAATGTTGTGGTGGCTGCTTTGACCAGGCGGGAGTACCTCACCTCGTCGACGGCCACCAAGACGCTGATGGATGGACAGTGGCATTATCTAACCGTGGCCATAACGCCGCCCAAGCGACCCTTCTCCTACAGCCAGATAAACATCTATGTGGACTTTGTCCAGAAGCTGAGTGCCACGCTCAAGGTGCAGGCCGTGAACGAGCCCTTCACTGTCTGCGCCATTGGTGCCGTGGTGGCGCCGCCTCAGCCTGGGGATGTGGCCAAAGCAGGGATCATGGCCAGGTCTTCCTCGCAGGAGAGCGGTTCCAGCGGATACAAGAGCATGCTGCCCAGTCTGCTCGAGCGCACACTCTCGGCGAACGTAAGCGATTCGGAGCTGTGAGCGCTGTTGCCATCAATGTCCAATCTCTGATTGTTTTTTGCTGCAGGTTTCCAACTACTTTACGCTGCCCACGATGCGCACCCAAACGTCCTTCGATCCGAATGTGAAGAACTTTCCCATCGGAATGCAGGACACGGTGTTCGGGGTGCCAACCTGCCTGCAGGGGCAACTGGGCGGAGTGCTGCTGGCCGATCCGACCACCAGTCTGAGGACAATCTTCGATGCGGGCATGAACTTTAGCTCGATTTTCTCGCAGGACAACGATCTGCTGGAGTTGAATTCGCGCTTTGTGTTCTGCTATGCCCCCGCTGCCGTGTGGCATGGCAGCTGCCAGGATCTGATTCCGGGTGGCAAGTATCCGGGCAGGATTAGCGCCCAGCACTGCAAGATCGTGAAGATCCAGGAGACGATCAACAGCATCGGCGGGATCAGTGCCATACTGCCCATTCTGCATCGGCTGGTGAGCACGGATCAGGCAGCGGACATCTCGATAGCCACCAGTGAGGAGGAGTCGCTGTCATCGCCCACTCCCACAGCCGAGGAGCTGGGAACGGACTGGGAGATGCTCTCGTCGAACTCCTACACGGAGTGGAAGATGATCCAGCATCCGTTGGCGAGCTTCCTCTGCCTGCTGCGCTACCTCACGCACGAGCACGAGACGAACCAGGAGCAGCTGCTGGCCAGCGAGTGCCTGGCCATCATTGGCACCATGCTGCAGCGGTGTCCGCCCGCACTGTTCGATGTGAACGCCCTGATGGCCACCCACCTGCTCATGGAGTCGCTGCAGGGCCACAAATCGGGCACCGATGCCGGTGGCCACTTGCTGGACACCCTCTACGCTCACATTGTCTTCGATTTTGGCATCTGGTCGCGTTTGCAGTTCCAGATTACGCTCGGCCATGCCCAGTACCTCAGTGCCATGATCAAGAACGATCGCAAGTTCTATCGCCGGCACTATGGCGTCCAGTTCGTGCTGGATGTGGTGCGGCAGTACTACTCGACGCCGGACAACATCAGCAACGACGATGCAAAGACCATACGCGCCACGCTCTTCGGGATTGTGCGCTTCTATCTGCAGAAGGAGGTGAACATCAAGGAGGTGAATGCCATGGTCACGTTCCTGGCCTCGGTGCGGCAGGATGTGGTGCTGGTCGAGTTTCTCGAGATGATCACCGTGTACGTGCGCGGCAAGAACTGTCGCGATCAGATGGTGCTCCTCCTGCACGAGCCCCAGTCGGCCAATCTCATCTACAACTTTTTCGTGGACAAGAGCTACACGAATGAGATCCAGGAGGCGGCCATTCGGGTAGGCAATCTCTGATCTCTCCTTGAATGAATCCACTTTTAATTCTCTTTCCTTACTGCAGTTTATCAGCGGTCTCTTGGGTACATCCCGGGTGCATCAGAAGTACAAGCAGGTGCTACGTTTGTACGATCAAAGCAGCGAGCAGAGCATGTTCCCCGGCTTCTTCTCCTTCATTACGCCCATGTCGCTGAGCTCCACAATACTCTTCCATCTGGCAGACGAAATGCTGGGCCTGCAGCCGGACTATGCCGGCCTCATCTTCCTCGTGTATCACGTGAGCAGCTGCGAGCTGCCCGTGAAGCTGGAGATAGCCAAGCGCCTGCTGCAGACCACCTTCGTCAAGCCGAACGCTACGGCGGCCATGGCTAGGCAGACGGGCTGGCAGGAGTCGATTGCCCGCCTGCTCATCCGCAAGCCCCTCACTAGCTCGGCCCCTGATGAGGAGAAACGTCGCAGCTTTGGCATCAACATGGACGTGCTGCTCGAAGACAACTCGAGCTTTCTGGCCCAGGCCGATCTCATTACGTTCTCCGAGCAGGAGATCGGACTGGCACAGCTGCAGAGCCAGCAGCAGGAGGAGCAGAGCGACAGCGGCTTGATCCTGAACGAGATCCAGGCCAGCGTCTCCGAGGCGGCCACCGTCATCGAGAGTGAAATCAAGGGTGTGTGAAGTGAATCCTTAACGACTTCATCTGGATCGTTACTTAAATGATTCCCCTGTCTTTTCAGAGCTTGCGGAGTCCGTGTCTGGTGCTGTGGTGGAGAATGTCAATAGCGTTTTCTCCGTCATACGACAGACCACCCATGACCTGCAGGACACCTTCGAGTCGCTGACTCTAGGCAACACCCTGGACGCCACAGATGGCTCGCAGACCCCCTCCCCATCCATTCAGCGTGAAGAGTCTCTGAGCTCCGACAGCTCCACGCCCTCGCCGCATGGTCCGCCCAAGAAGAGTGACTCTCTGGAGGTAGGTTTGCCCAGCTTCTACACACAAAATCCATCTCTAACAACGAAGATTTAACTTCCGCAGAGCACTTCGGCCTTTGACTTTGTGGCCGATGGGGATGTGGACACGGAGGATCAGCTGGTTTATCTCGTCTCCAATACGCTCTTCAACATCTTCTGGCGTGGCATAGCCAACGATCATCCGCAGTGCTGGCAGGAGCGCGGCCAGGTCCTCGGCTGCATCAATCTGTTGGCCCTGAACAATGAGCTGATTACCTCGCATCTTTCGTTGCGCCTGCGCATCCTCGAGATGGCGGTGCAGGCCTCGCTCTTTGACCTCTCGGAGCACGGCAGCCAGACGCTGATTAATCAGGAGAACGCCTCGCATATCCTGCGCATGGTCTACGAGCTGGTTGTGCTCGGCTCCAACGAGGATGAGTCCAAGAAGTGCTCCACCAAGCTGCTGGACGGCGTGCTGGCCTTACTGGACGCCCTGATGATCTTCCAGCAGGGATCCTCTGACGATTGGTCCGACATGATTCGACTATGTCTGGGCCTACTGCTGAAATGCTCGCATCATCCGAATCCGGGTATTGTGGCCATGGCCACTGCCAAACTGCATGCAATACTCCAAAGTCGTTCCACAGAGGATCCCGCCGAGCTGTCGTATCTCCTCTACAGCATCAATAGGGCCCTGGATAATGCCATTGAAGGTGGGTTTAGTTCTGTGATTAGTCTCGTGATTATACAGATTAATCTGTGATATATAAACCTTTCTTTTAGTTGGAAATCCCGAGGAGTATTCATTCCTAATGCCTGTGATGAAGGCCTTGCTGGAGAAGTGTCGCATGGCCTTCAATTTGGATTCCACGCTGCCCGATCTGCCCTCGACGTCGTCGGGACCCGTCTTCTTCAATGACTTTCAAATGTACAGCACCAGCAAAAAGTGGCGGAACTTCATTGAGCGAATGGTGAGTGAAAGAAAAAGAATGAGAAAGATCTCTATGCCCCCGCCACTCCATCAAAGCATGCTTCAAAGTTGATATTCCTAGTTGATATTTTATTCATTTGTTATCCTTAATTTAATCTTTAAGTCTAGCATCAAAGTCTTAAGTTAAGCAAGTCTTCAGGCCCTTGCCTCCTACGGGTCCCGTAGATTCCGTTCCTCTTAGCACTTAATATAGTTTGTGGTTTTTTGGCAAGTTCTGGCGGAGCACATGGATGTTCCGGTTCCTCTCCATCTCCCGGTCGCTGTGCGGGCTCTTGAAGAGCGTCGTATCGAAGACGCCTTTGGTGGTCCGCTGGTTGGCTGCCGCCGGCTGTAAAGCCGCATAGGAGGCGGGTCTGGTGGGTCGTGTGCCACGGCCGCCATAAGTGGAGACCTGCTGTGGGATGGGCGGCGCAATGGTGCCATCGTAGTAGCTCTTCGAATGCGACTTCTCAATGGTGACGCTGGTGGAGATGGGCTCCGGACTTTGCGTGGAGCGATAGCGTGAGGAGCCGCGATTCCTGCCCCGTGTGTGCGTGGTGGTGCGCGTGGCTGGCGTGCTGGTCACTATTGTGGGTATGAAGGCCGTGCTGGAAGTGGTCCGCTGTCGCAGCATCGGACTCCACGGGGACGGCGTTGTCGTCGTGGACGTTGTGGGCGTCACAAAGTTTCCAAACGTCTGCTTCCGCTCCACATAGTGGGATCCATGGGCAGCGGCATCGGCATCCGCTTGGTCTTCCCTCAAATGGCGGTCCGAATCGTAGGCCTGCTGCAGTTCCGGCACATCCAGGGTGTGCTTGTTGGGCACTCGCTTGCGCTTCCGGCGCTTGGTCGTGCTCTTCGAGCTGCCTGGCCGCATAGGCATCGTCCTCGGCAATGTCATTGGGCACAGGGACGGGCGAATTGTCCGAGAGTATGGGTGGATAGGCCTCTTGCTGCTCCTCCTTGGTGGACGCCTCGAAGGGTATGGGATCGTAGATGGGCACCTCGTAGCTGGACTTGGGGAAATCAAAGCTGGGAAACTTGTGGTGCGGATTCAGTGGCAGCTCCTCCGAGGGCGGCGAATAGTCCTCCTGCGGATAGCTCTGGCTGGGATGGTCGGGCTGTGGTTCAGGCTGGGCGTAGTTATGCGAAGGGTAATCAAAGGAGGGAGGATGCTGTGGCGGCTGGTCATACCCGGAGGAGGGAGGATGCTGTGGCGGATGGTCATAAGCGGAGGAGGGAGGATGCTGTGGCGGATGGTCATAAGCGGAGGAGGGAGGATGCTGTGGCGGATGGTCATAAGCGGAGGAGGGAGGATGCTGTGGCGGCTGGTCATAGCCGGAGGAGGGAGGATGCTGTGGCGGATGGTCATAAGCGGAGGAGGGAGGATGCTGTGGCGGCTGGTCATAGCCGGAGGAGGGAGGATGCTGGTCTGGCTGGCTGTAGCTATTGGAAGGATGTTGCGCATAGTTGGGGGAAGGATGCTGCGAAGGCTCTACGTAGCTGGAGGAGGGAGGCTCTACGTAGCCGGAGGAGGGATGATCGGGAAGCTGTACGTAGCTGGAGGAGGGATGCTCGGCAGGTTCGACATAGCTGGAGGAAGGATGCTCTGGGGGCTGAGCGTAATTGTTGGAAGGATGCTGCTGCACAGGAGGCTCGGCAAAGCTGCCCTCGTGCGATTGGTGGGGCGGAATGTAGCTCTCGTGGTGGTTGGACTGGTAGGAGGTGCTGATCTCAAAGGCCGGCGGAGAGTAGGCAATCTCAAAGTTGGAACTGTGGACAGGCGGATGCTGTGACTGTGGCTTCTGTTTCTGTTTCTGCTTCTGCTTCGGTGGCTCGGCAAAGTGCTGGTGGTAGCCAACGTTGGGTATCTTCTGGTCGTAGATGGAATAGGAATCGTGAGCCGGAACGGGAGCGGGCGGATGTTTCGGATGCGTGAAGCTGGGCACCGGAGCAGGAGCTGTGGGTACGCCATAGCGGGTGGAGGGCGGCGCGGGAGGTGGTGGCTCGTAGTGGGAAACGAAGGAGTGATCGGCTGGCTGGTAGCTCTGCTGCAGTGGCGGAACCCCGTACTTCTGGTGGGGCACGTGATCGTAGGCAGAGTCAGAGGAGATATGCGGCGAATCCAGACTGAAGTCGAGGCTGGGGAACTTGTGGGCCCCATACACATCCGGCACGGGCTCCGGCTCGGGATGGTGGCTGTAAAAGTCGAGATCCATGGACTGGGCCTCGTAGCTGGAGGTGGGTAGCTTGAAGTCGCCGCCCTCGAACTTCAGGTGCTGGAAATCATCGATGGAGAAGCTCGGCTCCTCGACGTGCGACGATGGGAACGATGGGAACGATGGCTTGTGCCGGTATCCATGTCGGTGTCCATGCCCGAAGGTCGGTGCTGCCGGTGGCCCGTACTTCAGCTTCGATGGTGGGGGGCCCTTGTTGCGTCGTCGCTGCTTGGAGCGTTTGCCCGGTCCCTTGATCACGGCGTACGGCGGCTGGCGCCTATATCGGATCAGTTTCTCTGCCGTAGGCACTGGCACTGGCGCTGACTCTGGCTTTGTCTCCGTCTCCGTTTCCGTCTGGTGGTTGCTCACATGTGTGGCATTGGATTCGCTGAGGGCGCAGGGCAGGCACAGAGCCAGCTGAAATGAAAGGGCAGAGGGCAAAGGGGAAATGGTTAATCTTCCGCAAAAATGTCATCAGTCGAATGAACATCAAACTTTCTCCCCCTTAAATGTTGTCATCTCTCTGCTGAATGTGGGCCACCTTTGACTTTCCACCATCCCAGACCCGCTGCCCTGCACCCTCTTCTTTCGGCACTCCACTTTATATGTGATGGCTGTGGCTTCCGCCTCACTGGTCGCCTGCCTTTGCCTGCCTTCCTACGTAATATAGCCATTGCCATAAGCTGCACCTTCGCGCGTTGCAGTTGCAGTTGCAGTGGCAATCGAGTCACGAGTCTTGCTGCCCAGGCAGGCTCCTCGTAATTGTTTGCATCGATCGATGTCGCTGTTGCCGGCTGGCTGCATGCCTGCCTGCTGCTGGCATGCATTGATGATCTCACGCAATCCAACCAGGAGGAGCCGTGCCAAGAGAAAGAGGGGGGTGGTTTAGGCAGCAGGCAGCCGGCAGCTGGGACTGGGAGCTGGAAGGAGCTCTAAGCAGTGAAGCATTGAACCTGCACGTTGGCCCAGGTTCAGTTTCAGGTGTGCGGGAATCCACTTGGCTGCTGTTTGTTTTGCTTTTGCTTTTAGACTGTGGACTGTGAAGTGTGGAGTGCCCGCAACTGGAGTCTAGGAAACCTGCGGGACATGTCTGTGGCCGTGGCTTGACAAAGGCTCAATGCACCTTGGAGTATGTGTGCGGAATTTGAATACAACTTTTTAAATATTTTAGGGGACCAGCATTGAGAGCAGAAGAGCTCCCTCCTACTTGAAACTTTAATAGTTTTAATGTGGTTGCATTTCTTGTGAAAGTATGTTTAAAAAGTTTCCTTTTGTTGCACTTTTGCTAAGGATTCTTTACGTGAAAGTTGAAGGCTTACAGGCTCCGGCTTAGGAACTGTGCTCAGGATTAGCTCTACCACGAGGGCACCAGCAGATGTGTTGGATTCTAGGAAATCCCACAGGCTCTAGTTTAACTTCTTAAGAAATCATTCCTAATAATTTAATTCTGTGTGGTTTATTTTTCGCTGTTCGAAAGTCTCCACTAGAAATCAAATAAAATGAATTTTTGTGAAGGATGCCAGAAATAGGCATAATTCTAGGACATTTCCACTTATTCCTCTCAATGTTATTTCACTGTAAGGTTTAAACTCTTGAAATGTCTCTGAGGTCTCTGCGGTCTCTGTGTCTCCCTCCACAACATACAACATGATGTACATTTATACACTTCTTATTTAATCGCTTACAAAACAGGCAGTAAGCCACAACAAATTGCACATTTTGAGCGGTAGACAAAGCGACAACTAAACTTTGGACGCATCAAAAATTAAATAAAAACAAATTTCAAAATCGACGCGAACATCAACAAAACTTTCATTGGGCTGTGAATCGGAGTTTTAGTTTGGAGTTGGTAGTTGGAGCTATGAGTCTCGGATTGTATTGGATTGGAGCTTTTCCTCGCGACTGCCGCACGACTTGTTGGACTTTCTTTCGGCAACTGAGCTGAGAGCCAAGAAAGTGGTCTGGTTTTGTGGCTCGAAGAGGCGCAGCTGGAACCAGTCGAATGACAAAGCGGCAGAGACTACCGACTACCGACTACCGACTGCGACTACGACTACGATGCACCCACCTGGGGCAGAGATTTTACCAGAAATATTTGATGTTTCGGCTGTTGCTGCCCAGCGCCCTGGAACGATCGCTGGCAGGGGTTTGGGCGAAGATTATGCAAAAGAATCACCCCCAATGGCTCTCCCTTCTCCACACGAATGCGGATGCCCGCAGATGCCCCCCACAGATAAATCCCCCAATTTATTGTCTGTGTGTGTTGAGAGATCGAAGATCGTGTTAAACTTGTTTCCCCAAACCGAAATCGAGCTCTTCCTGTGGCCACTCCATGCGCCATGCTCCATGCTCCATGCTCCGTGCGCCATGCAGATTGAACTTGAACCTGAACGGACGTGACTTTGACTTTGACGTTGGACTTGGCTTGGATGCAGTTGCTGGTGCAGATTCGGATTCGGATACGGACTGGTCTGGAACACGCACGAAGATCGCTTCGAATCGCTTCGAATCGAATGAAAGCGAAAACAAATCCGAACCGATCGTAGCCGTCAATCTCCAGCAATGTCCATTCATGGTGGATTCATTCATTTCTGACACTTTCAGGTAAAACCGCTTTACGACCGCTACCAGCGCGACATCGAGCTGCATCTGTGGGAGCCCATCAATCGCTTCTGGGCGGAGTGCTACGAGGCCTGCAAGGCGGCATCCAAGCAGCGGGCCACCTACCAGACGGACAATCGACGGCTCTTCCAGCAGAAGATCTACATGCCGTGGAAGGTGCGGCAGGTGGAGGAGATGCAGCGCCTACAGGCGGCGGCACTACACCACAAGACGCTCGACAGCCACATACGGAAGCGTTGGAAGAGGGCGAAGCGTTTCTTGTATGGCCCACGAGGCCCCTGGAATACCGGGTGAGTCTTCAAGCAAAAACAAAAAACAAATCTATCCATTTATCTATCTGTACCCGCACTCCCTATATACTCGTAATCCATTTTAATGCCATCATTATGAAATGACGCGAAATCCAGCATTTTAATTGCTCGCCTCGCGACAATTGTAATCGAGCGTGCCAACATATCTTTGGTTACATATAAGTGCCATTATATACGATTATATATGTATGTATGTGTATGTGTGTTGTATCTACTCTAACACATTCGTGGTTTGTGTTAATTTCACTTTGAAATGCAAACAAATCCGTCTCAATCATCAGCGGCAGAAACAGAGACAGCGCAGAGTGCCGAGTCCCCCACCCAGTTCACAAATCATCATCAAAGCTCTCGGTTGGTGGTAGCCCGTAATACGTTTAGTAGGTTGCTGGTTGCCGGAACAATGGGTGAAACCCATCAAAACAATGACACAAATCCACGCTAATGCGATGCCCTGTTATATGGGAGACTTGAGCTGAAAATCATAAATTAAAAATTAAATAAAGTGCTTGAGGTTAAAGATAATGCGTTCAGCAAGTGGGCTATTGAGTAGGAGAGAAGAGAAGAGTATTGAGTATAGAGTATTGAGAACTATAATCCCCAACTCTCTCTCTCTCTCTCTTCATTGAAATTCACACTCTTTCCTCTTAAATGTTTTGCTCACTTTTACATCGTTTTATGCCCATTGTAGGCGTCTTCTTTTTACCGCTGCACCTCGCGTCTGCCTATTGTCTTACACTTTCGCCCATGCCTCCGCCTCCAGCGCTGGCTCTGGCTCTGGCATTGCCTCTGCCTCCAGCGCCCAGCGCATGTCGTGCTGCGATTAACATTTTAATTTAATTTTATTAAATCATCAACGGTTTTTAATGTCGAATGCAACAACGGCCCGTCCCGTCCCGTCCCATTATGCAACTGCAAATATAACGAAAATTCATTATGCGATCCATAAATTTTTAACCAAAACAAATATGCACATCGGTGTCTGATTGGGTGCGGCACCCAAACCCCCATGCACCCAAACCCCCATGCACCATGCAGATGAGATCCGAGATCCGATATTCCATATATCCACTGATTGGAGGTCAGTTCTACCATAGATCCGAGATTGGGCTTATCCCCTCCATTCAATTAGAGAACGCAAATGCAAGGCGAGGCAAATGGCAATGCAATCAAAATTCAAGTTTGTCCATTGTGGCCGGCTGCCAATTACTCGATCGGATCGATTGCCAATCGCAGAGTTCTCTGAGCCCATAAATCTCACTTTAGACCACTTTGCATTGACGAATGAATTACGCAGTCGGTCGATCGGTCGGTCGGTCGCTCGGTCGGTCGGGGGTTGTGTTCTTTCTGAGTGCGTGGCTTGGACCTTGAGCGATTCACTTACGCTGCATTGAGCAGCAGCAGCAGCAGCCGCAGCAGAGACCTGCTCTAAGGTCGCAGCACGCTCACGGGCAAATGCAAAAACCAGCTGCAGTCGCTGCATTAAATCGTTCCAAATCAGCTTGGACTCCAGCCCAGTCCAGTCGTATGGCCACTGTCTTTACTCTGATTACACGGATCAGTGTAACGTTTATTGATGCAATTACCAAAGCTCTCATTTCAGTAGAGGGGATCTACTTTTGATGAAAGTACTTAACCATTTCTGATCCCAACTAACAAGCGGTTTAGCTTCAAGGAATCTTTTAGATTAGAGTACTTAAAGTTAAGCAGAAATCAATTACGTTGCTAGCAGCTTGGAACAGCGGTGGGCAGGGTTTTGGAGTTTGGGAGCAGACCAACAACAGCTGCAGTGAATAATTCTTATCAGCGAAACTCGAGTCGCGCATCAATGTGCCGCGTCATGCACACGATATGTAAATTGTTTTTGCCATAATCTTTGGTATTCTTTAGAAGATTTTCTTTGTGAATACTCTGAAGGAGAAGTTCTGTTGAAGTCTGTTGCCTCTGCACCTATGTTTGAGTCTTTATCGACAGTTAAAACTCTTTCTTCGATTTAAATTAGAACTCCCACAGAAGTGATCGAACTCCTTTTTGGCTTTCCATTTGCATAGTTTCGGTTCGATTTATTGCAATCTGATCTCGATTCTCGTTCGGAAAGTTCTATAAGAATATTGATTGAATGTTTTGGGGGTTTATAGAGTGTTTTTATCGCGGTCAAACAGCCTTAAGATTAAGAAGACAAGAAACATAAATGAAAGGTCTCGAGAATGTGTGAGTGTAGATGAGGGGACGCCGGATCCGAAACCGGAATCTGGTATCTGGTATCTGGAATCTGGAGTCCGGAATCCTGATCCGTGCGACGGTGAATTCGTATGTACATATTCCGATAAATCGCTTTCATTTCAACTAATACTACAACTATCGACTACGATCGGGCCGTGACCCCAGGGGGGCCACGTGGAGGAGAAGTTTGTCGCGATGTGTCCGTTTTGGTGGTTCGGCTGGGGGTCGGCAAGGGGGTCGATGACTTAGTGATAGCCCAGGGGCGACAGACCAGGCAGTGCTGGGCCATAGGCAGGACCCAAAGGACCCAGAGGACCCAGACCCAAGCCATGAGCGGGAGCCAATGCATGTCCGTAGGCGGGAGCCAGAGCATGACCGTAAGCGGGGGCCAGAGCTGGACCGTAGGCGGGCAACTTGGCCACCAGGGGAGCGGCATGCAGGAGCGGTGCCGGTGCCAGGATCTTGGCCACGGGAGCCACAGCCTTCACCACGGCGCCCTCGCGACGGACAACGGCATTGAATCCGTGAACGGGATCAGCGGTGTACTCCACAATGCGACGGGTGCCGTCGGCCTCGATGAGCGAGTAGGCGCCCTGGACCACATCGCCGCTGCGTGACTCCTGCTGGCTCTTCACATCCCCAGTAGATTGATCCTGGAAAGGAGAGAGATCAGCGCGGATTAGGACCACAAAGGGATCGCCCTCAGGAGGATTGAACTCACATGAACATCGTAGCTGAAGCTGTACTGGGGATTGGGATCGTATGGCTCCGGGGCAGCCACTTTGGCAATGCCCACCTTGGCCAGGGTGGGGTACACTGGTGCCGCCAGCTTGGGCAGCAGTGCCGGTCCGCCCAGCGAAGGATACGCTGGGTACGATGGGTAGCCGAGGCCAGGACCCGGCACCACAACGGCCATGGCAGCGGCCAGCAGGGCGCTCAATACAAGGATCACCTTTTGTGCCATTCTGTTTGGGGTTTTGTAGAACTGCTGAAAGCTGAAAGCTGGATGCTGGAGTGCTGTATGCTGGATGCTGGATGCTGGAGTGCTGCTGCTTGGCTGACAAATGAATTCACTCTGTGGTTCTGTAGCCGCTCGACAATTGCTTTTTATAGGCCTACCAGAGACACGAGAGACTCAGTCTCAGATTGAGACCCGGACCCAGACCCAAGCCCAAAATATCCACAAGCAAATCTGCCACAAAACGCAGCAGGGGCAGCAGGGGCAACAGCAGCGGTCGCCGCCTGCAACAAATATTTATGCAAAAAGCGCACAAAACAACCAACAGCCGCGACAACTAAAAAGTGCGCACGGCGCATGCGTGCCTCCAGCCTCCAGCCTCCGGCCTGCAGCCCCATGCCTCTCTGTCTGCGAGACATAGTTGGATCGATCGTTGGATCATAGTCGTAAAGCCCAACAACACGGCGACAAATATAATATAATTCATTTTTCGCTGCCCCTTGCTGCTGGGATGGAGGAGGAGGAGGAGGAGCAGCAGCAGCAGCAGCAGCAGCAGCAGCAGGAGAAGGTGGTCGGTCGGTCAACAGCGTTCACGCATGTCTGCGGCGGGGGAAACGGTGCTGGACAGCGCCCAAAACTGGCTCTGATGGTGCCTCCTGGTGGTGCTGCTGCTCTGCGTCGTGACAAAAAAGTTCAATTCGAAAGCAATCGTTTTTTCGGGGCGGCGGCCGTTTGGCCCGGCAACCGGGTGGCCGGACGACATCAGGTGTGTGGTGTGTGTGTGGCGTGGCGTGGCTGGCCATAAGATTGGGGCAACGCAGCAGCAGAGCGACACACGCACCCAGCCCAGCCCAGCCAGCAGTCGATTGTTGAAAGGTGTGTTGCACTTACGGCAGCGCCCGCAGCCTTCGAAACTGGCACAGCCGCTGCTGCGCCGCGCCCACCAAAATCCCACCGCCAGCCAGCCCAGCCAGCCAGCCAGACTGCCCCAGACTCCACAACAACAGCAACAATGCAACAGTTTTATTTGTGTTCTGTTTTCGGGCGTACTCGTACTTCTCCATGTTTTTCTCTTTTGCCATTGGGACAATTTTGCCCATTATCACTAATTTTCAACGCGTTCAACGCGAAGCTTGTTAGGCGTCGCAGTCGCAGTCACAGTCGCTGCCACAGTCAACGCTGGCTGCAACATCGCTATGGACATGGTCGGGTTTGCGTAATCCAAAATTGCATCTCGTGCCGATTTGTATACCCTTCAAGAGGATCAAATAAATATTTCTGATGCTCGACTTTACACTAAGGAATGTGACGTGGATCCATTACACATCTTCCATAGATAATTACCTCACAGTGTGTTTATTATTATTATTTAGAGAGCTTAGAAGTTCTTCGTATTTAACCAATCTCCTTTCAGCTTTTATGCTGCAACAGAAATAAGAATTCTGCAAAATGAATGTTTAGAATGGGAAAAATAATTATTATTTAATTCGGGACATATTTTCATTACAAAATCTAACACAAATTTAGTGTTAGACTCTCCGGCAAGCTATCTATTATTCTTTTAGAAGAAATCACAACTTCATAAGCGTAGAAAATTCATAAAAATGATCAGTTAATTCCGACGTTTCGAAAAACGTTTTCTTAGAGTCTTCTCAGAGAAAATTCAATCATATAAAGGCTAAAGGAGCTCTGAAAATATTAAAAATTTTAAATAACCGAATTCTGTGTCGCCAAATGGGAAGCCCCAAACGGACCGAAGCAGCGCACAGAATTGCAAGACTCCAGAGCAGCGACGATAAGCGACTTTTGCCTTTGAAAGCGTATATGAATGTCGGTGAGCCCCTCCCCACCGCCAGTTACGTAGTGTGCGAATAGCTTTCAATGCATTTTGCACTTTCAATTAAACTATTGAATAATTTGAGTGCGTGTCGAGCGGGCGAGTGAATGTATTTGGAATGGTGGAAGAGTTCTGTTGGGTGTGTGTGTGTGTGTGTGTGTGGAACCACACGGCTAACGGATTAGACCCAAACTTTGGTTTCTCCCCCTTTTTTGTGTGTGGATCAGCTTTCGATCTTTCTGTTTTCTGTTGCGTGGGAACTGGTTCGATTCGAGCCCTGATCATAATTTAAGAGAGATATACCATGGATTCTGGATATCATTTGATGAATCATAGCTAAATGAGCAATACTTTACCTTGAGCTTAGCTCATTGATATACTCACACCATAAATAAATAAACTAGAACTTGAATTTTGTTTGTTTTAAGATGAATACCCATTAAATCAGCAGATAAAAGAACTTTAGAGACAGATATTTTATGTTGTAGATTTTTAATAGCAAAATTCTCTTTGGCTTACAAAGTTTGTGTTTGATTTATCGGAACTATGGAACAGACAATAATTTATGTACAATCTAGGGTGCAGCGGGACGAGCTCTAGCCCAGGAGTGGGGCTGCGAGGGGAGCGGGCACCACAGGGCGTGGCACTGGACCCCGCTGCACCACCGCATTGAAGCCGTTGATGGGATCGGCGGTGTAGAAGACGGTGCGCAGGGAGCCATCGGCATCGACCACCGAGTAGGAACCCTTGACCACATCGCCGTCGCGCACCTCCTGCTGGCTCTTGCTGTCCCCGGTAATGGCATCCTGCACGTTGTAGGCGAAGGCGTACTGCGGATGGGGGTCCACCTCAGTGTTGATGGGAACTCCCACGGGCACGGCGCCCGGCAGCAGGGCGCACTCAATGGCGGCAAACAGGGCGCAGCAGATGAGGGTGATCTAAGCGAGAGGCAGGACTAGCAGGGGAGGCTCTTTGGGTTTGGGTTCGTATCTCTGGACTCACCTTGAAGAGGGCCATGGCGATACTTGCTGCTGCTGTTGGTTTTTGGCTGTGGTGAAGGCTTGACAACGCTGTCTGGACTGTGGCTGGGTGCCCATGGATCGGGGTTTTAAAGGGCCACAGGCTGCCCTCTGCGATGCCATGCGTCGTGTGGCAACCGTTGCCAAAAGAAATGAACCCACTGAATGGGCCCACTGACGTAAGGCCTATGTATGTCTGGAATGGAGCGTCGTGAGGTTTCCCCACAAATAGAAGACGTGCCAGCAAATCCGACTCGGCTTGCACAATGCTGCCGGATAGGTGTGCTCCTCCTCCTCCTCCTACTCCTCCTCTTCCTCCAATATGAATTGTAATAATTGTGGGCACTACGTGAGTGGCATTAGAATGCCAGTCCCAATACCCAGCCAGATGGAAGCGAACACTTGGGATGTTCGTGTTGTGTTTTTTTGTACCGAAACTTTTATTCAGTAAATGCAGAAACTAATTCACTAATTGGTTCCCCAGATCCCCAGAAAGGGTATCCCCTATATGTACATTTATGTAGTCTGTGGTGTCGAGTGATCGAGTGATCAGCTGGCTCGGAATCTGAATCTGAATCTGAATCGGGATCGGGAAGTGGGTCAACAGCACGCACGTTCATGGGGTTTTCAGGGGTGACAGAGGGTGTGAAAAGGGTGTTAATCGGTGTATTAGAACTACTTAACAACAGGTCCTGGGCCCAGAGGGGTGGCAGAGAGTTCGTCATGCTGCTCCTCCTAGTAGTGTCCGCCCAGGCTGAGGCCCGGGCCAGAGGCGTATCCAATCTTCGTGAGGGTCGGTACGGCGGCAACGGCCAGGACGGGCTTGGCAATCGCCACGCCCTTCTTCTCGACGACCGCATTGAAGCCATTAACCTTGTCGGCGGTGTAGGTGACCTTGCGAATGGTGCCATCGGGCTCGGCCAGGGAGTAGCTGCCATGGACCACACCATTGACGAGCGTCTCCTCCTGCTGCTTGGAGTCGCCGGTCTTCTGATCGGTCACGCCGTACGAGAAGCTGTACTGTGGATTGGGATCGTAGGGCTCTGGCACAGCCACCTTGGCCACGGCCAGGGGAGCAGCCAACAGCTTGGGTGCTGCATACGAGATGGCTGGCGCCGCATACGAGATGGCTGGGGCGGCCAGCAGTTTGGGTGCAGCATACGAGATGGCAGGGGCAGCATACGAGATGGCTGGAGAGGCATACGACACGGCCGGAGCTCCATACGAGATGGAGGAGCCATAGGGATCGATGGGGATGGCCACTGCGACGGACAGGGCGAGGCCGAGTACGAACATGGTCTGCGGGGGGGAGGAGGAATCAGTGGAGTGGCTTGGGAGTGAGCAGATCCTTGGGGGCTTACCTGGGCGAACATTGTGAAGGATGTGTGTGTGCGGTTATGTGGCTGTGCCTGCTGCTGCTGCTGGGAGCTCCTTGTGTCTGCTCTGCAAGAACTCAGATCGAGTGTGAGATGCATTTTCCGCGATCTCTTCAGTTTTATATTCGATTCGGGCACTGGCCACTGGCCACTGGCCTACGTCTCCGTCGCCGTCGCCGTCTCCTGCTGCACACACTCCAAACTGGACAATCTAATGGGCAGAGTGACAATTGCGTCTCGTCTCATTTGGTGGCTGCATTTGCAGCCGATCTCGAGCTCGATCTCGATCTTGCACCCCAGACCTCATCTGTGTGTGAGTTCGGTGGCTATTTCGTGTTTCTGGTGCGGATTTCATCATGACTGCTAAACATTTTCTCAATGGAATAGCTCCCAGCAAGCAGCACACCACTCACAGACCAGACCAGATCAGGCCATAACCATAATGTCTGTTCAAGAGCGCCGCTCCAGCTCCAGCTTCAGCATCAGGCACAGCTCCAGCTCTCAGAGCTGAGCACTCTGAGCGATCGGAGACTCGTTTTCCGCTGCCCAATCTGGTTTCGTTTTTTTTTTTTTGGTTTTTGTTTTTTTCGGCGAATTCTCAGTGAATTCTCCAAGCGAGCCGCCTAGGCCTAAGCCTTACTTTGTCTGATGTAATATCTGCCTCATATTGAGGCAGTTGCAGGTTGCAGGTTGCAGTTGGAGGCAAAGAGACCAACAACAACAAAAGCAACAACAACAAATACAAAAAAAGATCATTCATAGTAGTGCGGCGCGGTCCAGTCGTTTAATTAGAAATCGAAAATGGAAAATGGAAGAACTTCGGCGATGGAGCAATTACGCACTCGCACACGTACCGTACTACGTACCCACCCGGAGCCTCACAATATATCTCAAGCTAAGGAATGCCATAATCGAGTATGAGAACAATAAAGATACCCCTTGAGCCGATCGGGAATTAAGAATGAACTAACTGGCATTTCGAGCAGTGAAAGAAACACAAGAAATGATAAATTCTTTAATTTCTTTACTTGTTTCGCATTCCTGAATGAATTAAATTTATATATAATTTCACATGCAGGAAAATTCCAGCTGAAATGAAGGCCCTCTTGTGGTAGAGAACTCCTTAGGGTCGCGTTCCCTCAGGCAGTGTCTCAAATGGAGTTGCGACCCTAGGGAACATTTTAGACGACTGTCCTTTGGGCACATACATATGTACATACTTTCAGTAGAGTATAAGCAACCGATGTGCCCTTCCACTCCACAAATAGAAGAGGTACAAGCAAAGCCTATAGCAGGAGCACTCATTTGCACTAAAACGCACACGCCCCACATGCCAGAGCCCAGAGCTTAGAGCTGGGAGCTTAGAGCTGACGGAGCCACTTAGCCATCGTAATTGCCTCGATCGGGCCAAAAAGCCAAGCTGCAGGCATTTTGGAAGCTTTAACCGCAGCGACCTTGCCCACAATTGGCAGCAACAGCAGGCGGCAACGGCAACTTGCTGGCTACTGGCACTAAGTATTTCATCTAATTTTAATTAATTCTCATCTTGGACAGTTAGCGCGGGGGTTTGCGATTGAACAAGGAACTGCATTTATGGCAGTAGAGCATTCCATTCGCTTTGGGCCAAATTGGATGCGTTTTAGCCCGGTTTCCGGTGGCGACAATCTACGCGGACAACCGTTAGCCGAGAGAGTAACATTGCGGTGCGAATCTGCTGCCAAGTGAAGTCTCTCTCCCTCTCCCTCTCTCTGTGAACACGCTCCGAAATGAATCCGGAGCCAACAAGTCGCAAGGTCGTTGGTTGCACTTAGCAATAGAGTCACGCACTCGGAGCCATCCACCAGTTACAGCATGGAATCGATGGCGAATCTTTAAACAGTGGTCGGGGCAAGGCAGAAATCGGAGAAAGGAATGCGTGGGGCTGGCCCCAGAGAAGGTGCCCTGAAGGATTTGCCATATTTAAGCTGATATTCCCTGAAAAGTGAAGACATTTTGGGCAACACTTTGACCCAGTTGCTGGTTGCTGCGTGGCTCTGGTTTCACTTGGGTCTCTCTTGGGTGAAACAACCTTATTATTGATTGTGTACTCGTACAAGGTGTTTTCTCATTTGCATTTCCAATTGAAATCCCCATCGAATGGACATTAAAACTTTCCAATTTGTGGGCGATTGGGGGTGGCCTCCAATGCCACCCATATCGAATCTGAATCAATAAATGGGAACCAGGAAAGGCAACACGATATTTATGAGCCGTAATTGAACCCTCTGCCAGAGTTCAAAGTGTTCTCTTATTTATGTTCAGTGTTTTTGGGTGTTAAAGAAAAATAAAAGCACTGCCATTGGATGGAGTGGGCCTGCCTGCCTGCCTGCCTGCCTGCCTGCATGACAATTAACGCAGAAACCGCAGCCAGCAGCACAGAAGCATAATCAAATCGCATTCACTTTCAATCGAATCGGAGCCCAATCCGAGTGCCTCAGAGCAAGGTAAAAATCGAAAAACAGAGGCAGAAATAAAATAAAAAAAAAAAAATGAAAACTTAAAGCGGCAAACGGCAGACAGCAGACAGCGGGCAGTCAACAGAAGACATAAGACGACTGGAAATTGGTCTACGTGCCACGAATTTGGATCATAGGCAGACGCGGCCAAAAGCCAAGGAGGAAGAGACGCAAGGAGATTTCGGTTGGGGACAATGGCAGGCCACCCCCGTCTGTGCCTGTCCCCCTCCCCTCTCCTCCCCCCACACATACGCAATTGGTACGTACGCATGGGGCCATCAGCTGAGCGCCGAATGCAAATTCCACACGCAAATGGATCGCGAATGGATGATCTGCCAGCGTATAAAAGTCGTCGTTTTTTTGGTCAGTGCATGTCAGTTCATTTTTGATAACCGACGGTGACAATCGCACAACAAAACCCCCACCCAAGCCACACAATGAATCCTCTGACGGTAAGTGGAGGAGTGGCCCCAAGCCACAAGCCCCAAGGATTCAGGGAAGGCTTACGCTGATTCTTCGCATTCTTGCAGGTTGTAGCAGTCCTCTCCTCGATGGCCCTCTCGGCTCAGGCTGGTCTGGTGGCTCCACTGAGCGCACCTCTGGCGGCAGCTCCTTTCGGTGCGCCACTGGCCTACAACTCGCCTCTGGGCGCCTCGCCATACTTTGCCCCGGCCGCCTATTCGGCTCCTCTGGGCTACTCTGCCCCGCTGGTGGCCAGGAACTATGCCGCTGCTCCATTTGCTGCGCCTTTCGGTGGTCCATTCGCTGCACCATTCGCTGCTCCAGTTGCTGCTGCTCCTCTGGCCGCTCCCGTGGCTGCTCCTCTTGCCGCTCGCGTTGCCGCCCCTCTGGCTCTTCCAGTTGCCGCTCCTCTGGCTGCTCCCGTGGCCGCTCCCATTGCCACCGAGATTGTGGATGCCCATCCACAGTACCGGTTCGCCTACGATGTCCAGGATAATCTGACCGGTGACTCGAAGACCCAGGAGGAGACCCGTGATGGCGATGTTGTGCGTGGCTCCTACTCCCTGATCGAGCCCGACGGTTCCCGTCGCATTGTCACCTACTACGCTGACGACATCAACGGCTTCAACGCTGTGGTGCAGAAGGATGTGCCCGTTGCCGTGGCCCCTGTGGCCCCAGTTCTGGCCAAGACCATTGCCGCGCCCGTTGCCCCAGTGGCTCCAGTGTTCGCCAAGACCCTGGCCGCCCCCATCGTTGTCTGAGGAGTCTGAAGGGGAAGGAAGGACCGCCTGCAATTCGACAAAGGACTTTCATCTGTACATATTCGATTAATCATTGTCGTGCCTAAAAAATGACTTTCATCGCAACCCAAAATTAAAAGAAACTCTTAAAAACTTTCAAAAAAAAACCATCTTTGCTTTTGTTTTACTTGTGGATAGCCTCTAGCATCTTCCATTCCTTTGATGAACCTGCTCTCGACTTGGGGTCTCTAATTTCTATTAATTTTTGTCTTTTAGGGACTTGGGCGAGGAGTTCTGGAAGCTGTCGCCCCATGAGAATGTGGCACGCATGCGCCTGAAGCTGGAGCCCCAGCTGTATCCCAACAAGCACGAGAATGCCGCCAATCTGAGGGACAATGCCACCAGTGCCTACGACACCAAGTAAGCCAGCCCAGCCCATTTTTATCCAGCCAGGATTTGCATTTGACTCGCGTGTGTTCCACAGGGAAATATCGGAGTTCGATTCGACCATCAAGAATGCGGTGGTGCGCGACTTTCTGGCCGACGATGAGAGCTCCCAGCTGGAGGAGGAGCTGCGGCAGCTCATCGACACACAGTCGCAGCAGGATGTGGCCCTGGAGAAGCTGGTGATGTCGCAGGACTGCGAGCTAATCACACTGATGACCAAGGTCAAGGGCCGCATCGAGGTCAACCAGAGCGTGTTCACGTTCGTGGACCTGAGCCCACCCACTGAGGATGGGTCCAAGCACGACTTCAGGTTCACCACCAACAAAATACGCGAGGTTCATCTGCGCAAGTACAATCTGCGCAGGAGTGCGCTGGAGATCTTCCTGGTGGACCAGACCAGCTACTTCCTCAATTTCACAACGAAGGTGGGTCCCCACCCTCAGCCCTCTGCCACCTTGCTGTCCTAATCCACTGCCTCTGATTCGTAACAGACTCGTAACAAGGTCTTCACCAAAATTGTGGGTCTGCCGCTGCCGAACATACTGTATGGCTCGGGTCGCTCGCCAGCAGAGCTGCTGCGCGCCTCGGGCCTCACCCAGCGTTGGATCAATCGGGAGATATCCAATTTTGAATACCTGATGTACCTAAACACAATCGCTGGTAGGTCTCCAGCTCACTTCCAGCTTTAGTGAGCGCTGCTTAAAGTAATCCCAACCCATCCATTCTCATTTGCAGGCCGCTCGTACAACGATCTGAGCCAGTATCCCGTCTTTCCCTGGATCCTCGCCGATTACTCGAGTGATGTGCTGGATCTGACGGATCCCAAATCATTCCGTGACTTGTCCAAACCCAT